TTTTTCTTTCTAAACATTTCCAGCTTTACTGAGGAAAACGACATTCAGACATTGCCGGCGAAAATGGCATCTGTCCGTATAATCCATCATTCGAAATATGTTACTGTTGTTATTATGATGTGCGGTAAAGTTCTCATGCTGCAAAAATGATCCGGAATATGGGAAAAAGACGTTGGAAGAAGACGTAAAGTGGAAGTAATTCACGGGAAGTGGACCGTGGAACGGTGCACAATTTTAAAGGAAAACCCATCAACCTCAGGGGAAATCAGAACTAATCGTTGGCGCCCCCTAGAGGCACAACACCTTAGACACCTTGAATCACCGCAGAAAGAGCACTGGCTTGATATTATCCCACAAGGTCACCCGCAAATTTAATCACAACACTACTGATACAGGACCGATATCTCGCTCGAACCCCACTCACAATAATAGTAATAATATATATTTCAAACAACACAAGCCACACGAATACACTCATATACCACACAAGAGTACCTCAAACCCCATGTTTTAGAAGGAATTGAGTAATGGTTCCCTTGGTCCCATGTAGTTCCTTATGGACTAAGTTCTATGTCTGCAGTTGTCAGTTTGTTTCCCGGATCAAAGAAACTTGCATTCGTATTTCATCGGATGCCACACTAAATGCGTGGCCTTGACCGAATGCCACACCTAAACATCAAGTGACAGATCGAAACTGGGGAGAATGCCATTAAAATATGGGCGCCGTGGCAAGCTTTCCTCCAATACCGCACTTAACAATACTTTAGATGACGTTTCATGGAACCTAATAGTTGAGCACCCCGAGAATGTACCCAAAGACTGATACTTTAGCTTCGCACCGGGAAGTAAGCGTGTAAATGTAAATTGGTCACATTTGCTGTGGCCACATATTAGTACAGCTATCTTTGACAAAATTGTGCAACACACAACAACTGTAGTCAAACAAAACGTTCTGCACATGGGACCGGCTTTCGCTAGAAGTCGTTTAGCCCTTCAAGTGTTCAAAAGCCTTAATACTGGTAAGTTCAGTCGACTAAATGAACTGCAACCTCTCACGCTCCTATCATTTCCTGAAATCATCGATATATTTGCAGTCATGATGCCTAAAATGTAACCAAAACTTACGCTCACTGTGGGATTTGGAAATGGTGCAACAGCTTAGTCTGTAGAAGTTGTGTTGCATGCCTGCCTCTTCAAGGTTGTTGAAACTCATTTGTATTTAGTCTTTTATATTTTGTGCAAGTTCTCGCCTGTATGTATAGCTTGATTTCGTTTACGAAATAGGACGTTATTATAGAGATGAATCTAACATCTTGGTGGGCGCGTGACATTCAGTAAACAGGGCAATGCCGCCGGTAAACTTTAGCGGTCACCTGTTAATAGGCCACCAACTGGGTCGTCGGTACGCCGTCACATTTCGGCACCTAAATGGCTACGGGTTTTGTCACGGTGACCAACTGGTTCTAGAAGGTAACAGAAGGAGGAGGGTGAGCGGGGTGTTAATCATGCCTCGGAGGATGTGCTTACATTCAGTAATAAAAAACTGAGTAGCGACAGTTGTTTACAGCAAAAATATGAGATGGACTAGATACGGCATTCATTGAAGTGGATGAATTTGGCTTAATTAGCTAGATAAGCCACAGGGAGATAGAAGCGAGAGACTCCGTGAATTCGCAATGCTGATAAATGTGTTTCCCCTCTAGTATCGAATAAACAATCCCCTGTTTTAACAAAGATCTCTTTAGCAACCACAGGAGACCTGTTAACGCCAATGGAGTAGCACACTTTATTGGTCGTTTCCCTATGGCTGCCAAATCCATATTTATAAATTTGACCGTCTCGAATGGTCCAGTTGGTATTCTAAATGGCCCACCGAGAATTCTAGACGCCTGGTGTGACTTATTTATGGGAATCCATTTGCGGGCCTACAGCATGATGACCCAATGCAGGATTCCCTTAGTCGTCCTCTCAAACTATAAAACATCCCAATTCCAGGGGATGCCAACCTTTCGAGGGCTAGTTCAGCAGACCGTGCATTCGATGCCAGTGACATTGACATTGGTGATGATAACACAAAGAAGGGGAGCGGTGGAATGGATGTTGACGGCTGGTTCGAAAGTGAACAAACCGCTGACACCGTGTTCACAGAGCCCTTAGACTCAGTCTGAAACCGCTTCAGTCATATGCGCTAAGCTTCTAGCTCGGGGATTCTACAGGTCCCCCACCAGTTAAGCGGAACAGGACTAGAAAATACTCCTAGGGCTGTCCACAGTGTCGGCCATGTGCTATGCTCGGACTTTCATAGCTGGTGACTCCAGCATATCAACCACCTGCTAACAGCAGGGCAGCATGACCTCGAGTCAGAAGCTTGATAGTAACATCCTAAATGCTATCCAAATGGCCAGGTCGTACTAAAAGACCAGCGATGTAACCCGCTGTGATCAGACGGCGAACCATCCGAAATGGATTATCTGCTGACCAGTGAGAACTTCTCAGACGAAAATGTCTTGGTTCAAACTCCCCTTGGAAACGGACCATGGTGTGGCGATGTTCAACCTAGCTATCGGCAAACAATTATCGTTGGGGGATCTTGCACCCGCCTCTATCACAGCAAGGCGATCTGTGATTGACTGAGTCAGTGCCTGTCGACAGCTCCGTGACCGCTTAATTAGTGCTCCTTATCGGTTGGCCGGCCCTGGGAACCAGCAAGAAACACCACTGGGGGATTTTCGTAAACATTCCCAGTCGTAACAGTAATGCCTAGAAAGCGGGCCTCATAGCCAGAACAAAGCAATGAGTGCCTCGTCAAAGTTGAAAGGCCAGCATGGTACTAACTGAGTCTCTCCGGAGGGGAGCCAGATCGTGGCACATGTGCGTCCTTACGGAGTCGACCAAGCATCAGGGCGCTGGGAGGCCGGAGGTCGTTTGAGTTCTCCCGGTCCAGAAGCTTGCGGCGAACATCCAAAACGAGAGCCGATTCGCGGCGAAGAGAAAGTCTACAAGCCAAGGAGCATATGAATCGGAGATTCAAACGCAGCAAGTCTTCATGGACAAGAGTGCACCGAAGTGTTGAGCCCCACCTTCGACACAGCTCAACATCCCATCACGCAAGCACACTTACTCGCAGCCTGAACAACCTCAAACGTTATCCGACTCAGCAGAGCCACGCCAACAACGTATAACGCAGTCTGCTGTTATTGATAAGCTGCCAAAGCTTCCTGCCGGAAAATCCTCACGTTGCGATAAAATTTGGCCATCCCTGTTGAAACAATTTGCAGGTACCCTCAGTGCCCCATCGTGAAAATTTTTTCGAGACTCCTCAGAGGAAAAATGACTCCCACCAGGTACTACGATAATAACTCACAAAATGATAAGTAACTCAAACCGGCAGAACACAAGAATATAACTCTTTGGTTGTTATGATTGTCCCCCTGGAAACCATAAGAGGACTGCCTACCGAAGGCCAGAAACTCGTGTGCGTTCACCCTTCTGCCTTCAGGTCCGTGGGGAGTGGAATGAAGTGCCAACAGAGGTAGTTCTCGCCGTAACTCTTGCAGTTTCCGGAAAAGCCTGGAGGCTTACTCGGTGACCCATGGTTTATACTCAGACAGCTGGATATGAACTAGACCGAAGAAATGGAATTTTATCACACGATTCCAACGCTGCTGCCTCTGTACAAATTACCATTCTACTCTAATGGCTTAAGTCCCTCCACCCCCCTATCTCGCCATGATTTAATCTCACCTTCCTAATTTCTGGATATCTTTGCACACCCCTCGTCTTGTTTTATCATATATAAATTACCCCCTTCACTTCACTATTATGTCTTTTACCTACGCAAATTTTTCTTCCTAAGTTGTCTGTTCATTACTCATAACCCCCTACATAAGACCAGACCTAACAACAGTCTGACAGCTTGGCGTTTGAAGAACCCAGAGGTACTGAATCCCTTGACATGTTGGCCGACACGCAGTGACACAATATACAGAACTTTGCAGGCATTTTACCACGCTGGAGACTTCACTAAAGGCTGGGATCGTGAAGTGTAAGTTCTACGAAATTTTGAAATGCAAGATTCACCTTGATCACTATGCTGCCCATGGATGTCGCAACTTCTAAGATCGTGGGGCCACTCCCCAATCAAAGGGAAACTGAAAGTATACCGGATGCGCCTACCAAGTCCCATTTCCATAATGTCCAGAATAAAGTGGTCTGCATATATTTGACACGTTTTCCATAATTTTATATTTACTTTGCAGCGGCCTTCTTCGAGTGCGTACGGTGGCTGGCCGGAAACGGCATGAGAACCGCTAAGATGTTAATTTACTTTAGTCCCTAGATCACGGTTTCTATATGCACTATAAATATCTCGTTACTTTTTTCCTCAGAATATCCACGATACTGACGAACCCAAAAAAATGATAACCTCTAAACTTTGCGTACAACTTGTGAGTATATAATCAGAGTAAATACATATATGCTACCATAACGTGTATTTTATGCCCTATGAACAAATCCGTAAATAGGGCAGGCAGTACGGAGATTGCACTTAAATAAAGCTGCATCAAGGCTACGTTTACACACGCAGGCTTAAACCATAAAGCAAGTGTGTAGACTATGCGGTTGGTCTTTAAAGCTCCGCCTACATTCCGCATTTCGGTGTTGTTTCCCGCATTGGTAATCAGTGCCTTGACCTGCATTGTTTCAGCATTCGCAGTCATTATTTCCTCATTCTTGTTAAACTGGGTTTCTGTCTTTCCTTCTTGCTGGATATCTTTTCATCCTTCATATCTTCATTTTACAACTGATTCAAACAGCCGCGCTGGGTGTACCATATTCACCGTAGTCCGGTGGTTACACCTACAGCAATCGAATGCACATAAGACGAAGAAGTGCTTCACAAAACATAAAGATGAGTGTCAAGAAGTCAAGTAGTTTATACTAGCTTGTATTATGATTGTCGATTGAAACACTTTTTCAATTGGCAATTGAATAGTGATCTTATTGTCATAGTGACTGAGAAGCAGAAATACAACTCCTGAAAATGCCACTTCGCCCTATTATGCATAATGCTCGATTCGAAGCGATTGAACAGAAATCCAACAAGAATGGTCTCAGAAGTACTGTTTTTTTTGTGAATGGTGATGAGTATAGAGGTGAATGGAAGGACAACAAGCGCCATGGTAAGAAATTCTCCAACTGATAATTTACAATATATGATAATGTATTTACTACAGTAAATTTGCATATATATAAAAATACCCATGGCTATTTTTAGTTGGTCTTTGTTTTTTCTAGTACTAAAATTCAACGTGGCAGAAAAGTGTCCCTTATGAGATGCTGATATATACGAGTCGTACGGGTACCCGTATGATAACCACTTCTCGTACAGCGTTGTAAAAACTGTTCCTACTGTGTTTCAAAAGAGATGTTGGAGAATAGTAGTATATATGTTACTATCCTTCAGCACCGCCACTGAGGCACAATAGCGGCGTCTTATAGATTGGGTATTAGTTATTACTTTTTGCTGATATACTTGTAATTCTCTGTTATTACACTGGAACAAATTGTTCAACCTCTCTTATTCTAATGGATAACGCCTTGGAATTCAAAGAGGTGGTTATAAGGGTTAAAGTTTCAAAGGGAATGACACTCACTAGCGTACATGTTCATCCAGTTGATGAGTCCGAAATAGGACAAAACTTGAGTCTTGGACTCCTCTGCTAGCCAAAAAAATTACACTACCATAAATGCACTACGTTTACGTGTGTGTGAATGTCACTCAAATAAATGTGATGACCACCTGTATGTTAAAAAGTGAGTCTTCGACGATATCAGTGATGATCATAATAAATCATGAGTGATTTAGAAGATGAGGACTGTCAACATACGTGTTATTACTTGAAAACATAAGTTGGTGGTTTCAAACATCCTTTCCCAATGCATCCAAAAGCAAACCACTTACAAGGGGTGCTGATGTAACTGTTCCATTCCCGGAATTATCACATAAAATTTCCTGTATGAATGAAATTTCATAATGATGAGTGGCTTCATATTAAGTTTATATGAGGCCAGAAATATAAACGTAAGACTATGTAGAGAAATGGCAGGAGCAGTCCTTTATTTTGCCGTCCTGTCTACTACGAACATCTGACAATATCAAGCATAACGAAAGAAATGAAAATAATAAGGTCACTCCAGGTTTCCCAGATCAAAGATAAATTCAAAACAGATGGACGGTGAAATATTCACCTGAATACTTTCATATCTGTTAGCATCGCCGTACATCTCTAAAAAGATTACAACTTTATTTTCATGCCCTTTTAAACTACAACAAGGCGTTTCCTTATCTGTCAATGCAAAAAGATGTCATGTATATCAAAACACTCAATATTTCCAGTGACTTGGTTCACGTACAGTACTTTTGATCAACCTCTTGGGAATTAGGTCCATAACATATCATATTTTCTGCTAAATACAGTCAGCTTTGTCTTTACCCTTTAAACTATGGCACTTCCTAGACTTTCTATCCGTGAACAGGTTTTTGACCTCTTTTCTCACCCATGAGGAATAATTTCTGTCAAATAGAAATATCAAATGCACACATGATTCGAAAACCCCAAAATGTTTTGTCTAAATAGAGCTTCAAACTCATGCATTATTAGATCATTCTGCTGAAACCGTCTGACAAATTACTACGAAGAATCAGCTTCTGAATACTTGGCCCCATCACACTAGATGCAACCCTCTCAGTGTGTTTCAGCAAAGTACAGAAAAGCGTTACTTTATCATTTACATCAGTGGATGATATAAATATCAGTTTTCGTTCTCACTGAGATATTGCAAAATGGATAAGTGCAGATTATTTCCTATAACACCTGTATAGATATTTCACACGATAAACGAGAGATAAGCTAGTAGCTGCAATAATGTTTTACTCAGAAGAATTTTCGATAGAACCTCGTGCCAAAGTTGGTTTGCAAACAAGTAATAAGTTACCTGACAATAACCAACAAAGTTCAACTGACAACCAAAACTGTGAAAAATAACAGTGAGTAGCAGCCTTTTCATCTTGAATTTAAAATGACAACCAGTTATTTTATTTTTGCCACTTTCATAAAACAGGATGACTAGATCTAACACGAAGGTCATTTCCTTATCGAATATCGGTCCCAAAACCTTCTTTTAAGTTAAGAAAGTTGTATGGGACAGGAAACGATGCAAAGCAGTAGGACCCGATAGTTTGCCATCTTCAGTTTTCAAGGATAGGGGTAGGAAATCGCTGATTAGAGTGACGGAGGTACTAGGTAGTGTTTGCGAATCAGTAGTAATGTCGTCAAAATGGTCTACTTCACTGATCATCCCAGTTTATAAGGAGCGGGAGAAATCCTCTTATGACAACCATAGAGGAATTAATTTGGCTAGTATTTTGTCTGAGATCCTAAGGTCCATAGTTATCAGACACCTAACTAGAGTTAGAAAACAGCAAACTCGAGAGAACTGGGCAGGTTTCAAATCTGGAGGAGGATGTATCGATCACATTTTTACTCTCCGACTGCGTCGATTACACAGGAATACTTACCGGTCAATGGCCAACACTTGCCAAATTTCTTGATCCGAAGTCATTATTTGACTCAGTGGTCTATGAGTTATTATGGCGGTGTCAGACTGTGAAGGGAGTACCGAGCAAGTATATAACCCTAAGTGGGACTTTCAACTGAAACTCAAGCAGCCATTTAAGGGCTTGTAGGGAGTTGCCATGCTATCTGAAGACAACTAGTGGTGTTTGCCAAGGATGCCAACAGTCACTGTTCCTATTCAACTCCGTCACAGACGTACTAATGGGCATAACTCCATGTATGTCTGACTACACAAGGACTGACCTACTCTTGAAAGAGTATCTAATTGATTTAGAGTATACAGATAATATTGTTCTACTAGGTGAGGATACTGACAAAGTGCAGGGTCTTCCGAACGCGTTGAAAAGAAGTCTAAGTAGGTTTGGCATACTTCCCGCTGGTACCTTTCAACTGTAAAGTGGTGCTTTAGGACTGGTCTGCAACCACTCCCAGTTTAATGATAGGGAGTGAAGTGGTGGAATCCGTTGACCGCTTCACTTACTTGGGGAGTTGTATCAGCCTGTACGGGTTGGTTGCTGACAAAATCTCAGCTCGGATACAGAAAGCAAGTGTGGCATTTGTCAACTTGAGTCATCTGTGGCGTCGACTAGCAAGACATTCGACTGTCTATAAAAGGACAAGTATAACGCTCCCCAGTTCGTCCTATCCTGTGAGACATGGCCGTTAAAAGTAGGAGATATGAAGCGGTTCTGATCACAGATATCTTCGAAGCATTGACTGCGTTTGGTGGAATCACCATGTGAGCAATGTTGAGGTCGGGTGAACGGTACCAGACAAGAGAGGTAAACTGGTTGGTGAAGTTGTGAACCTCCACCATCTGAAGTTGCTTGAACATGTGTTGTACATACTGAATCACCGACCACCTTGGCTTGCTCTACTGAAGGGAGTTGGATTGGGTTGGAATGTTCAGGGTGGCCACACCAGTACTTGGGACCATTCAACGAAATCTTCAAATGTTGGTCTGAGTCGTGTGGTAAAATGTGGAGTGTCTGGTTGGGATCTCCAAGACAATAGAAATCAGTAGTTTAGAAGTCTGAAATCGGTCGCAGTGGCGCAGATGTATTCATTGTATGATGTCTTCCAAAGTTTTACTACTTGGACTAACCGTTATCTTCGAATTGCATATTCTCTCACACAATGTTATTCACTTTGACAACACTCCTTTTGTGTCCACCTCGTTTTCGTGTACTATTGTGAAGTGCGGCAATTTAGACCGACGCGCTTGCGTATGAGTTTCCATCTTGATTTCGTTAGCGTCAGTTATTACTGGAAGAAAGAATAGGCAGCTTTGCACGATGCAGTTTTGTTAGTTGTATTTTTGTCCACCTGTCCACGAACGTGTACATAACTTTTAGTCACAGGATTTTTTTGACAAATTTTGCTTTTTTATTTTAAGATTCATACGTTTAACTGGAGCAGTTACTTAAGATTTCTGGAAGCATTTCATCGAAATGTTTTGCGGTGGTAAAAAAAGCCGTGTTTTTATTCGAAATATCCTTCTAGTTTAGGAAATAGTAGATTTATTAAACTGACTTATCTAGCATCTCCTTATTTTGATGATGAATAATCCCTGATTTTGAAACTACTACGAGAATACTATTCGGTTGGACATTATCTGCCGCGCACATTCTAGTACTGTCCTCAAAGCTTGTTCCCTTTATCGACAAAACAAAAGTACTATAATAAATGTCTTTGTCAAAAAAGCACCGGAAGTGAAAGTTTTAACCACCGACACAAAGTATTTCCTAACCACGCACTGAGAAATATAGAATCGATGTACTGTTTCTGAGACATCTTTGATACCGGATTGAGAAGTACTTCGATTGATTTTAGATAACTGCCCTATCCCTTGTTCTACAGATAAACAATTTTCGATAAAGTTGGGTTGATAACTATGGTTGCGAACTCCTTGTACAGGCATTTCGCCTCTTTTCCTGTAGTACTGCTTTCGGATAAAGAAATGAAAACGACTATCATAAATGAAATAGAGTATTTTAAAAGGCGATGAGAACCCCTCAGTGACGAAAATCTTTACAAATCACTGGACCACAATCCAATTAGGAAATACTCAACTAGATGTCAAAAAGACTGAGGAATATAGTAAAAGATGACCAAATCACAAAAGGAGGGCACAAGGCTGATGAAGACAAACGGCCCAGTACTTTTGACGACCTACGGTCGGTGAAAATTAAATGAAATAGATATTTCACTTCAACAAATAGTTTCATTACCTGGAACATCTTCATTCAGTTTATAAAAATAATTATAAAAAAGACTAAGGCACCTTGTCATTGGAAGTGGATAATCAGTCAGCTAGTCCAACAATCGAATTTCTAGAGAAAATAAAGGATTTTACAACAGGCTGGTATTCTTTGATGTGACTTCACTCTTCCATCCAATCAGCTGGAGGTTAACCAAAGAGACACTGGATATTCTTCTGAAGAGTGACCAAACGTTTTCTGAGCATACAAAACTCACTGTTAAAAAACACTAAGAATTTTCATCAACCTATGTCTCATGACCTATTTACAGTTCAATGGGAAGATTTACAAACAAAGAAACGTGACACCAGGGTGGTCACCAGTATCGGTGTTGTTTGCAGAAGCAGTCATGAAGCGGATCGTTATTAATCTTTCTCATCAAACCAAAAATATGGATTTGGTACGTTATTGACATATTCATAATTCTTGAGGATGATGAGATCGATAACATGTTTAAATTAACCAGCCAAATATTTGAAGCAATTCATTTCATACAGGAGGTAGAGAACAACAAGACTCGGTTCATAAATCTCCTCATCAACAGAATGCGTGATAAGACTTTATACACTTGAGTGCACGGGAAAATATTCATACTGATCAAGTTTTGAAATATAACTGCAATCATCCTACATTGCATAGGATAATTTGTACAAACATTATTCTCAAGAACCAAAACACTTTGTAGCACTTAAGCATCATAGAAAGTGAAAGGACACTACAAAGTGTTCATAGACAAGGATTATAAACTCAACTTCATCAAAAAGTGTTTATCCACAGAACAACGGATAGAGCAATTACCTTACACCAATTGAAGCATTGATCTATCTCACTTCGAAGACGTCTCAGAAACCACCAACCGATTGCATCGTCCTTTGGGGATTGTAGTAGCACGAAAACTAATGAAGTCACTTCGGAGCCTATAGTGAAAACCAAAGGGTCCGCCGTCAAAGGAGGCAAGACCAATATAATCTACAAAATCAACTGCAAAAATTTTTTGTGACACCATGTTGACCAGTGTATCCTTCTGATCGCCTAAAGAATTCATGAATACCAACTAGTAGTAAAGCGATACAATACAGCCTCTTCGTTTCAATGCACGCAGACAATCATGTGCATAGATTGGACTGGGAGGACGTGAAGATCTACCGAGGAGCAGGTTCAGGGCAGCATGGTACTTCAACGAAAAGTCAATCAACAGACATGGGAAGATGGACCTAATCTTCAATCTGCTTACAAAGGAGACAACTATCTATCGGTCAAGTGCGAATTATCCAAAAAATCACTAATGAACCATAATGTGACAGTAACGAAAAGCACAGTTTTACTCCAACAAGGATTCCCTACCAGCTCGACCAAATGAAATGTAAGGCCAAAGAGGTAAAGGTGAGTTAAAATCGCATCTCAACTTACAATTGGACAACACTCAAGGTCAACAAAAACCGTTCGCGTAACGTTTGAATACGCTTCATTTCGCTATGAAGTAAGTGTAAAGAATGTTACCAATCCTGATGGTTAAATACTCACGACGAAATATTGAATCTTAATGAGTAACAAAACACCATGAATCTGTAAAAAAGCAACAGGTTCATATGCTAGATCAACTGAATTCGCAAACATTTTTCAAGGTATTTTTTTCGTTTAGTCTAAAGCTTAGAGTACTGTATTTATCCCTGCCAAGTTATGATAACCTGCTGTAACACGTCTTTAACATTTCTAATAGTAATATGGACTTCTTGTCGTCATCAATAATCGACCAACTTCCCGATATCGATAAACACATTACATGAATTTGTTTAAAAGTTAAAGTTGATGCATGCATATTTAAACGGTTATATCACCAACAGGTCGAGGTATATACAAATGGGGAAAAACAAACCTTATTTACGAAGGCGATTGGGAAAAAAATAGACGAAGTGGCTCTGGAGTTCTCAGCGTTAAGTGTCAGAATGAAAAACAAGTTAATATCTACTCAGGCTCCTGGAAAAATGATAAACGACATGCAAGTTATGTTTCTAATACCAGTAACGCCTTCCAAGGGTTATGGAAAGAATTGGTATTCGGAAAATGAAATATACGAAGGTGAATGGTGCGACGGAAAGCGTTCTGGGTGGGGGCGAATGTATTACGCTGATGGGAGTATTTACGAAGGACAATGGTTTAACGACAAACGACATGGAGATGGAATGCTTAGATTAGGTATTTTAAAACACTGCAATCAGTAGACTTTTCAGCAAAGGAAAACAGGTTCGAAGGACAGTGGTTAAATGACAAAAAGAATGGGAGAGGAAAATACTTCTTTCTTAATACTGGTCAGTTAATGGAAGGGGTATGGTGTGATGATGTGCCCAAAACCTCTCAAATCGTAGATCTTGGTAGAGAGGTAGCAAGGAATTCAACAGAATCTGAAATACCAGAGGTAAGAGTTGGTTTCTGAACTTGTTTTTATAAGATTTGTGATTATAAGTTACGTAGTTGCACATTTTATTTAAAGAGAGGAAACAAGAAATAAACAATCATTGAGAAGATGAAGTGCTTAACTGAAGGAATAGAAGTGAGAATCGTACCTTATATGAAAAAATCGATAACAAGATAAGCATTGGGAATATTTGACGAACAAATCTTACCAGTTTTGACTAGGAGGAGGTAGAGGAGAGGTAATAGATATAATAAAATTACTGCACATATGGAACTAAATTAAGTTAAAATGGCAGTTTAAACTGTCAGGTTAAAATTCAGTTTGTATATTTCTTCTCTTAGTATGTGCTTGATATCATAGGTAAGTCAGACAACAGAAAAAATGTAGCACCAAAATACATGGGCGATTAGTGTGATCCAAACAGAAATACTTTTATTTTTAAGCTCAAAACGGTTTCTTAGCCTTAATCGTACATCTAAAGGGTTTACTGTATCTTAGTAAACTTCGTTCTGCATCGTGAACTACTAACAGATCGGAACAGTTAACCTTAGTTAATAATGAAGAATTATAAGGTTATTTCATACGACGATGTTAGTTACTACAATCTGAAGGAGGATATAGATGTGACTAAACAGTTTATAATTTACATGAGGCATTACTTTAACTAAAGTGAATCACGAGCAGTAAGTCAATACATATCTGAGAACCATTCTTAATAAAGATGCGGTTTACAGTTAGCAATGAATTCTTAGGATTCAATTTCAGCCACATACTTTTAGAAAGCGTTACGACTCTTTTATTAAATCTATAAAAATTGTTCAGGTTATAATACCAAAACCGTATTTGTCCGTCGATAAAAAATATTGTCATCAGGAAGCCAACGGTCTAAGTACATCCTTTACTTAATTTAAAAGCCACTTATCTGACCTTCTTTTCGCTGTTCTGGTAACGAAAAAAAGATCAGTGAAATAGGTCAAATCAAATATCACCCGGATTCACACAGAAGTAACTAATAATTACATATTCTAACCAACTACGATTTTCTACTTTTTTGCTCAGGTTGAGTCCAAGATACTAAGTAAGGTGTATGAATGAACAAGATGCACCACTAAAAATCATAAATACTATGCAAATGTTTAAGGATTCATCTCAGCAAAGTATACTTCGTGTGAGGGTGTTAATACTAACTGTGGAAATCCTATCTAGAGGATGAAATACTAGTCCGTAATACGTGTTTGGTGCATTGAGTGACTATGCCACTCAGCCATAAAAGTAGTCAGGTGCACAATATGCAAAACATAGCTGAGACAGGTAACACTACGCAGTTGCTTAGACATATTAGGGGACTGGGGAAAGGTCGGGCAGACAGATAAACGTAGAACCTCGTACTCAAGTGCATCGGTTCAAGTGACCACACTTTACAGTAATATGCAAAGAACAAGTGGGTAACAAAGACTTATATAAAAGTAGACACATGCGTGGGAGGACAGATAAGTCACGGGGTTGCCGGGATCTCGTAAGCTAAATCGCAAAAATTCTATACAACGGTCAGGTGAGATCAAGGTAATAACCTCACTTGGGTCCAGCATATGTATTTCAGAGACAACATACACCCATGATCCGAGATTTCAGAGTTCCAGTGAGCTATACCTGTTGCCCGATAGAAGACGTTGAAAGACCTAATATGAAGTCGACAGTGGGGTTCTAGGAGACTGGAAATGAGGTCCCGATGGCCTTGACCGTCGTCAGTGGTCATAGAGTGAGAAGTTAAGGAAGTTGGGAGATTTTTGGAACTATTTTCCGGAGGTGAAGGCAAAGAAGGAGACAGGTAAGGAGGATAGATTATGTTTGATTGGGTTTTGTGTACTACTGGAAGCGTGTAGGTGGTTAGTACTTCCTGGCTACCCACATCGTCGAAAGCTACTTCTTATTAAGGTAACTGAGAGAGAAAAGGATTTGTGTGACTTGAGGCTTATTGGTGTGAGGTGACTGTTATAGCATAGAAAAAACCCATAATGCCGATGCTGAAAGACCATGAGGCAGAGAAAATCCTAATTTTAGAGTCCACCTTTTACCATCGCTTCTTCCTCCAAGATAGGGAGCATTAGTATGGTACTGCTAGCCATTCAAGCGGAACACTTCACTGCTGTCAGGTCTCATTAAGTGAACAGCAGGTGGCCTTCATCCCACCCTAATCATAGTGTACCAATTTACTCTACAATGCTATCCAACAGACCTTTCTTGCATGGTGGGGCCCTGAGGGAACAAGCATCCTACCAGCATAGCTCACATGACTGACAACTAGTCACCAGCCACTAATCTTCTTTTCACTCAAATCCAGCATGGTCACCGAGATAGGCCCCTCAAATCTTGCAGAAATTGCAAAGGCTACAAATAACCTGAAACAAGCAATGGAAGAATGGTCAAAGAGGCCAGTACCACACACATTTAAGGACGATTTCGAGGATTGCTAGTCTTACTAACTAGTGTTTGCCAGCATATGGTAATGAGAAGTAATCCCTACAACTGATCTGTCACTGACTGTCTTCAAAAAACCTACCTGTGATAGCCACAGGGGATTAAGTCTGACAACCTAAGTTTGTATAGCCACTAAACCACCAAGCGAAGCTGAGGAACAGTAATCCCCAAAACACTAGGCAAGTTTTAGACCTGTTCGTGAATGTGTTGGTCAGATATTTGCCTTACGCCAGATTCTGGCTCGCTGGTGAAAGATCTGTATTCGAACACCCACGGATGAGTTGTTCACGTAAAGTGCTATCCATCAAGGATGTCCACTCACTCCATTCTTTTTGAAGTTTGTCATAGACGTAATTATGGTGTCCTTCAAGCCATCGGACTTTTCAAGGAGTGATCTTACCACAGAACTCTTAGTAGATTTGAATTACGCAGATCATATAGTCCTGATGAATAAAGATCCTGACAAGATGCAGTCTTCTGGACACTTACTGGCAACTTCCGAAATGTGTCTATAACCAACCGAATGAGAATTCTTCCTCAAACGTTGGTTTAAAATACTGCCTTGTCTAACACTAGGGAGAGAAATGGTTGGGTGAGTTGGAAATGTGATTTACTTGCGAAGTAGGATCAGCTCAGGTGGGTTATTGACCAATGGAATCTCCACATAGGTACAAAAGACTCCATTGGCTTTTGCCAACTTAGGCTATTTACGGCGCCACCATGATATCCGGTAGACTATTAAGGGTCAAATGTACTGCGGTCAGCTCTCTTCTATTAAACTGTTGTGAAACATGACTAATAAAGGTAGATGTGAGAAAGCTTCAAGTGCTTGACCACCATTGTCTTCGTAAAACAGGCCACGTGTCGTGCAGTCATTGCGTCAGTAACATAGAAGTTAGCTGATTAGGTTAACCTTCATCGAATGAGGTGACTGCGACATGTGTCTACTCACCACGTTTCGTCGAACAATGTTAGCTGAAGTAGATTTAGGCAGGGAAAAGGACCAGTCATACCAAAACAAGGAATCATTCTATGAAGTTCGTGATTATTTATCTAGGGTAGGGAAGAAAACGTAGCCTTCCCGGTTGAGGTCCATGCCAAAACCAAATTCAGAAGTTGCAACCTCAAAATGATATGGGTTACAAACGATCGCAATGGCGAAAATGCGTCCACACATTATCTTTATCTTAACCGCCATACTGAAAATCATTACTTCTTGTTTTGTCACAACTCTAGCACTTTAGACTGCTTTCTTCACCCCCGTATATTTCATCTCGCTGCATTTTCTCTTCATGTGCTGGTACGAGGTATGGCAACTGAGACCGTTACACAGTAGTTCCAGACTCTACGTTGATCCTGACCTTGATATAAAACCGAAACGTACACAGTAAATAATACCGTCCAACGGTGTAATTAGCGAAAAACTACTCTACCGAAGTGTCCAGATTTTTAACTATCTAGGAGTAAATTTAAAGGTTGAGAATGGCTACCACGTAAGTAGAAAGAATACCAAATTATCCGCAGCTGCCATATACTTGGGAACTTCGTAACTAATTAACAATATATACACGATTGTGCGTTAATCCGCCTGGTGCTAAAGAAAATCTGTCACACCACTTTAGTCAAAGAATAATAAATACAGACTGATAACTCACACAAGCCATTTTCACACCATAAAAACGAGTCCGAAGAGCAGTCAATCAGTAAATAAAAATTAATCCAGAAGTGTCACATTAAAGACCTATTGAATGGAATATAACAGTAGAAATAAGCACTGCAGCAGAGTAAAATTTAGTAAATAGTACAGTTTCACTGTATGATACACATAAAGGAAAACTATAATGGGACTGTATTCAGTGGAAATGAAGCAATAAAGCCCAACTCAGTTAATTTAACTATGAGTAGAAACGCCAACAGTCTTTGGAAATAACGATCATATTACGTGAGGCAAATCAGAGATCAAAACTGGTATACATATTTTTTGTTTGCAGATAAAACTGAAAGATCCAAATGGCGTCCTCAGAGAAACACAAGAAAAGTTAATGGAAATAATAAATTCGAAAACGATGATGAACTCGTAAAAGAACAGAACGAATCTGTGTGTACTTTCTAATCTTCTGGAGCCAGCAAATGATTACGTCACAACTACACTTTACGAGCATGTACACACCCAGGAGACAACACGAACAAACTTGCAATATATAGTTTATTCAAAAAATATATATGCAGTACAAAGACCGACAAATACACTGAATTAACAATCGAATATACAAACTTTACAAGGTCAACAACAATATAATTGGAAAATGCACCTCGAAACGGATTGAATGCATAATAATGATAAAATAAGGGGCATAAATGCGTAAAAATACACTGAAAATCCTCAAATAACCATAGTAGGAGCCACCTAGTCTGATCAAACAGAATAACATAACTATTTGTTCTTGACAACAGTACAGCAGATTGCTCATTCGAAATCGTATAGTCGAAGAGCTTGTTTTATATTGTGAGCCTCGGGGAAGCGTAAACAATACTTTGTATCCCTCAAAAACTTGACAGTTAACAGACGACCTGAGAAAGAAAAGAAGACAAAACAACAAATGCAATAGGGCAGATGTGAACACACTTTTAGGGTTCTCTAAAGTGACGTCCATTTTAAAAATTAACAAGAGGTTTGAGCGCTAGGTTTGTACGCAACTCATTACCATGTAAGTAGCAGTATAAAGATTCAAACCATGCGTCACGACTAAACTACGAGATGCAACTCATAAAATTTTAACTACGCTTCAACCACTGAGCGTTTTGTTCGTAATAGTGAAATGGTGGCTGGTGAGATAAATCGTTACAACCTAGGTTTGTTCCCACCTTCAGCCATCATTGAAAAGAGAAACCTGTCACTAAAAAAATGTTCTATCATATAGTATAACTAAACAAAATACGAATTTACTTAATAAGCAGCTATTAACAAGGAATCTGACACATATCCATTTCACTAAAAAGGGTAATGGAATGACATAGATTTTAAGGAAATGATGGTTTGCATAATCTTAGAGACCACGATCAGATCCAGTCCTTAAAGGTTGATACTACGCATCCTTAAAACAGCAGGAATTTCAACACTTTTCTCAGTTAGACTAGTATTCATTCACTCCTGAGATCAGTGATAAACCTTGATTTGAAGACAGCAATTTTTCAAACAAAAAAAGCCCCAAAGAACGTAACTCCAGGGTGAATAGACTCTCATAAAATTCATAGATAAAGGCAACACCACCGTCAAAGAGAATTAGTCTATTCTGGCTTACTGTGGTTTAACTGCCGCCAACGTCTCATCACGCACAGCCTATAAACAGTTCAGGCTGTTAGGAACTCGAAAACTGCTAGGATCCTGAAGTTCATTGCATACACAAAGCATGTACCATTAAAAACTGTACAAATTACTATATACTTTTTCACCACAGAAAAATGAATCCTGATCTGAACAGTAAGTAATATCGGAGCTGTGTCAATACATGTAAGCCAGTCCTACAGGAGTCCAATCGCAGCCCCAAAAGCTTAGTGGTAGAGTCGCTGGCTAAAACACTGGATGACGCGGGTTCGAATCTCAGGCGAGACATCAGTTCCATCAAAGTTGCAGATGCGTCTCCTTGACGAGTGCCAACAAGCACAAAACCTAGGTCCAGGGCTCCCTGCCGTTGCCTTTAATTAAATAACAGTTACCACTAGTTAGACAAAACAACGGATGTCTGAAGCGTAATAATAAATAATGAAAATATCTCTTTACATTAGGAAAATAAGCCGAATAATTCATCTTTTAACGAGCTCAAGACATATTTCATAAAAAATAATTTATTAAAAGGGAAAGAACCTTACATTTGACTTACCATCGAAATAATTAGCGTGTATTGAATGAAACACGCGACCGGCAGTATCAGCGTCTCCACACTTCACATATACTAAACCCTAAAATGAAATTTTCAAAAAGTAATGTATACACAATACTCTGTTTCCAAGTTATATGTGGTAAATACAGGATAACTAATTGGGAAAAAATGTGAAATTATTCTGACACTCCTTTATGCAGAGACTTAAGTCAAATTAAACCAAATAGATATTTGGATATCTTTTGCTTCCTAACAAGTTTCCTTTCGATCAATAAAAGCACGCTGTAATGTTGAATCTCCTTGCTTGGTGACCACTTTACAAAATGGTCGACAGAATCCGATCACTACTTAAAACTACATAATATGAAGTTGGTCAGTCTCCAGTGATCAACACGTGTCTAAACCAGTCATGCAGGAGGTCGATAAAGGCCTGAAAGAAGAAAATGCATTCAGCAACCTCGTGCAAATTAGTGCAGTAGGTAATGAATCACACCTACTGTGTGGAGGCTAGTGATACTACCTGGCTGTTTAAACCTCGGCAAGTGGGGCGCGGTTTGGAACCGCGCCCCACTTGGTTGAAAGTCATCTCCCTAAACAAATGAGCCACAGATCAATTGAGGGGCAAATAGCTCAGTGGCAACGTTTCAGACTGCAGCACTAGATGACATAAGTTCGAACCCCAGAGGGGACATAAAAATCCCCTCGCAGTTGTAGCTATGCCTTGCTGGCGAGTGCCTACAATCATGAAACCTAAATTTAAAGCTTTAGGTCGACTCCTTCTATTTATATTATTCACAGGTTGTTTTCTTTTATGTATACTTTAGTTAAGATGGATTAATAGCCAAAAAGTAGCAGTGTTATGTACAAGATATTTCATTTTCAGATGGTTGTGATGATCCTATTTTTGAACTAATATCCTAGATACATACACTTTCTACTGCAAGTGATCGCAGACAATCTTGTTCATTTTGGTAATTTCAATTGCAGCATACATTTGCATCAGGTTACTAAAACTTGCATAATAGCATATGAAAGCGATAAGTGAGACTGAAGAATTAAAGCATTTATGCAAAAATTCCCATTTAGACATTTAGTAAAACAAACAATGTGAGCGAAGAAATATTTCTTTTCAATTAATTCCTCATCAATGGCTCTACACTAATATAGCATTTTCAAACGTAAAATTACATACCAATCTTTCTACGATAATTAATCTTTGCTTTAGTTAACTGTCTTAATTACCTGACCAATTATCACCTTCTTGAAACTTTGAGATTGATAACCTTTCACTGAACAACTCTCACCACTAGATTGGTATGTAATTTTACGTTTGAAAATGCTATATTAGTGTAGAGCCATTGATGAGGAACTAATTGAAAAGAAATATTTCTTCGCTCACATTGTTTGTTTTACTAAAGCATTTATGTCTGTAAAAATCAAAATATAAGAATACATAGAGAAAAACTGGATATACTGAAGTAGATTGGTTGGATAATTGAACTGAGATGCCAAAAAACAAAAGTTTTTTCAAATACGAAATGAAGATATCAATATACGTTACCACAGTGAATATATGTTGCGTTGAGTATTTAATTATTTCTTCCAAAAAAGTTGGACGGCACGCTAAGAAGACTTATGATACTGTGATAAACAAGGTAGATTTGCAATGCAATCATCAACCTGAAACTGAAGTGACCTCAGGAATCAAAATATCACCATTTCGATTAGAAATGAGGGGGAAAGCCTGTTGAAATTCGTCAGCTAACTAGATTTTCTCTTGATCTTGATTATCGTTACTAAACAGAATTCGAACTAATAACTCACATTTGTTCCAACACTGTCTAAGCCAATATGTAAAATAGGTCCACAAGGAATTAGTTTCTTCAGAAGTTCGCGTTTGATTCGCTTCCGCCCACGGTCATCGATACCCCTGAGATTAAGAAAGGTGAAACAATCAAGACGGTACCACCAATTCTGAGCATCAAATTCTATTTTAAAAGCACTTAAAATTTGAGGAAAATAATTTTTTTTTAGTAGTGTTAATTAAGAAACATAAACTAAAAGTTTGTCCCCCAGATAATCGAACGTGACAGTTGAAGGGAATATTTACTTCATAATGAATACATGGTTTACACTTACTCCGTAGAAAACATATTTCTTATTTTTAAGCACTCTGTGGGAGGAACAACAAAACTTGGTTTCTGTGACTTATCCATAAGAGCTATAAGAGAAAAATGAATAAACAAACAGCACGGTAAACAGGTGTATTTATAAGAAGGTATTTTACATGTGAAATGAATAACAATCTAAAGACCAATGAAAACTCGAGATCGGTGCAAAGAAAGATTTGTTCGTAACACTAGTGTCCCGTGGAAAAGGAAATCTATAAGAATGCTTCCTAAAGAAACACTATGACCCGGTAGTCATTTTACTAAATCTCCTGATCGAGTACCACTACCGTAGTGTGAAAAGCTGTTATTGATCTACGTTTGACACAATAACAAGTAAACAAAAATTTCCAACGCTTTCGGTTTTGAAGCAATGTTCTGTAGTTTCCTGCACCGTAATGACATGTATCGCAAGCTTTTTAGTGCGAGGAAAAGACAATTACGACCTATTGGAACGAATGAGTGCTACCAAGAATGATTCACTCACCTGTAAGATGCTGTGGATGGCAGGAAAAGAAATCAGTAGACGAGATATTCGTGCTGTCAACCGTCAACAAAAATAGAGAACTACTTTATCGTTCAGATTAGTGTACCAGTTATGTGACACCCTTTTCTTTCAGAACGGTAATAGACAACAGATTAACAAACTGGAGACAGCTTACAGCTAAGCCCTATTGAAAACTAACTATGACTATCCTTCAACAATAAGGTTACAACTTTGAAACGGATCACGATTTTCTTCAAGTTGACAGATGTAAGTTGAGATGGACACTGAAACAAATGAAATCTAGGTCCACTGCTCCTGTGAGGGAGACGAAGACATCAAGAAACGCTGCATATCTACATCTGAAATAATAAGGCATCATCACTAGAATAAAGATTTAGTGGACACAAATGAGAATCGATCCAATATTATGATGACATCTACATGCAAAACCTTATAACATAACCTGCTAATTCTTAATAGCAGATAGAAAGATGAATCAACACAGTGTATGATCATTAAAAAGCGGATGTGTGTTTTGATCTGCCGTGTATATGAACGATACGATGCTTTGATGCGATTTGATTGACGATAGAACAATGATTTCACAACACGATATTCAACTCACACCAGAAGAAGACGATGGGACTAGAAGTACACTTACTTCAACCGAATGATGCGATTATAGCTGAAAACCCCATCATTTATACACCTTTACAAGGGCCTTGACAAGAAAACATAAAACAGTACACTTGGGGTGTAAAATGAACCAAACAGTTTAGTATCTTAAACCACGGTAATAATAAGTAACATTGCGTGGAGCGTAGAAGTCGCGAAAGTAAGGTTTAAATTTCACAATGATGATAATATACGCATACTATAAGTTAACTTTTGTCTAAAACAATGGGTTTACTACTTAGAATGCACCTGCAACCGTTGTCCATTTTCTGGGCCGATTTAACCAATGTCAGGGTGGGAGTTCTTTGTTGATTCGAATTATTTGGTTTTCGAGCAGTTTCTACGCTTGGTACCGCGAACGTATCCAGTAGGACTTCTGGTGAGATGGTGTTGGGTTTTCTTTCTTCGGTTGGCTGCGAAGTGTATCGTAGTTGGTTATGTCGCGTTCCGGTTTCTATTCCCACTACGCATCCACATCTGCCGATAATTACGTTTTCTATCCACTTTTTATGTCCTAGTCGGTAGTCTGTGGCGAATACTGGCGATTCGTTCCCAAAACAATTTTGACAAGATGGTAACCTTTTCGGTCAATCTTTCGGCATTAATTTCCGGCATATTAACACTTCTGAACTTTGATGATCTGGGAGTGAGTCCGTTGTTGTTGTTCGATTCATAAGCAGCAGGTTTTGAATTATGTCCAATCACGTACCTTCCATACATACGCCGTGCTTTAAGTGAAACCCTATTTAACGCATCGACGAAACGTTCCGCTTGTCCATTCGATTGCAGGTGGTATGGTGGAGATAGTACGTGTAATATAGCACATCAACGACAAAAGCCTTTGAACTGAGTAGAGGCAAACTGAGGGTCGTTTCCGTGACAACATTTTCCGAGAGCTCATGATAGCGGAAGACACCGAGAGGGTTTTTAACATTCTCATGGTATTTGGTGGGTTGATAACTGCGACTTCTGATCACTTCTAGTAAGCGTCTACCAAAATAAGGTAATGGTTTCCATCAATGGGGCCGGAAAAGTCAACATGAATTCTCGACCATGGACGTTCTGGATCTGGTCAGAGAATTAGTGGTAGTCGTAGAGGATGCTTTGCAGGTTGTTGACATTCTGCGCACCGGTTGACATCGTCTGTAATTTATTGATCTATCCGTAGGCAATACGCGTAGCAACGAGCGGTTGACGTCATGAGCCCAATACCAGGGTGACCCGAGTGAAATTGATGTAAGATTCGGTCAGGTAGCGATGTGGGGAAAACGGCTGGGTCTCCAGATATTGGTCATTCATTTACGATACATATGGAGCTTTGGCGGCGATGTAGTCTTAGTAGATCACCTGTGGACGTTTCTTTCAATCATCGGATGAGAAAAAAAGGGATTGCACACTGTAAAATCTTATCCTTGTTTATATCTAAGTTAGGGCCCACCGTTGAAGACGATTTACAGAATGGGTATGAACAGATTTAGATCCAGAAACAGTAAGCAATGACTTATGATCTGGAAAAAGCGTAAATTTGTGGCCAAGGACAAGCTTGTAAAAGCGACGGATAGCGAAAACAATGGTCAAGGCTTCTCAATTTAACTATATTTCCGATCTGTGATAGACAGCGATTGGGATGCACATATGATGGCCTTCCCTTTCCCATCCCCAAAGACGTGAAGAGCCAAAACTTCAGACACCAGGAGATGAAGCACTCGCTGTTATAATGATTGGCAACAATGGATCATAAGGGGTCGACAAAAGTTCGGATGATCACATAGACTTCAGCTGACGAAAGGCTGTCATGCATTCTTTGATCCAATGCAAAGGAACCTCTTTGTGCAGGAGGTATTTTAACAGGATCCTCAAAGTACGCATAGAAGGTAGGACTACTGAGTTATAATTTATCAGTACGAAAAATGATCTCACAGAAGGAAGATCAATCGCTTCTGGCTTTTGCTGTATTGCAGTAAACATTATCTCCATAGATAGGTGTTGGGGTATCAACGTGAAGCTCTACACAGTGCGGTTAAAAGGCGTTGGCTCGTGAAACCTGAGGTGTTATGCGCAACAGAGATTGCTTGTCAAGCCCATCTGAATACGACGGTGAGCCTCCACGTGACCCCACTGGGTAGTTAACGAAAACAACGTCAAGTTGACTTGGTAAGAACCACAGTAGACGAGATTCATATGGATAAGATCTGAAGAAACGACCTCTAAAGCACAAACGGTCTTATATACCGTCAGGGTTCCGCTCTGTGAGATGAAGACAGTGCAACCGAAGACAGTGAATCCAGCCTCCTAGTTCCGGTAGTCATTGTTGTTGAGGCTTTTCCCAACAGATCGGATGTATTTTACCTTGCGAAGACAAGCAATATTCAGTCTGAAATCCAAGTGTTGTCAGTTTTAGCCTTGAATGTACATCAGTAGTTCAAAGAGAACCATCGCTGTAAATCTATCAGCACTATGAGTTCATGGGTCAGGCTTTCGAGAGGGATTTCTTTTCGGGAGGGTGAACTGCATTCAGCCTGTAAGGTATTGTAGGCTTCTGTGAGACGCGTTCCATTCACTTCTGTCCACAGGGAGGTGGGTACAATCAAAACTGATTACCCAGCGGATACGGATGCGTTGAAACCTGATCTATTTCAGGGGTGTTAACAAAATGTTCTGGTAAGAATGTTCATTCTCATGTGGATGTGTTGCTGGGATGCTTCCTGTTCGGGGAAAGGACTGATCCACCAGGTTTGCGTTGGAACGTCAATAGATTTGAAGAGTGGCCAGAAAAAATTGCAACTGAGCAGAAATTTGAGGTGAGATCTTAGCGGTCTACTGTTAGCAGAAGATTTTTGTGTGACAAACAAAACAGAAAGTTTCTGCTGCAGATACTGCCATCGCAAAAACGAGTTTACAACCCTGGGCTTCCATAGTAGAATCGTTCTAGAAAGTTTCAAAAATGAACCTATCATTAAGAATACAGACTATCATGAACCATGCCAAACTGGTTACCTGTCTGTAATTCTCTCCAGCCTCACAATAAAAATCAGATTATTTAGAATTACCAGGATGTTAAAGCTTACCAAGATGCATCATGTCATTCATACGGTGAGACTGGAAAAGGGTCAAACTTATGCATGATATAACTATGCAGAGAACCAGACTTGGTTTGAGTCATGTATGCTTCCTGATCAAAACCGGCGATACACGCGATATCATCTGCTGACAACTAAATGATTGTGTGTCCGCAGATACCTCAATATATTATTACGATAAAAATCTTGAAAGCCCTACGCATTTTCACCTCGTAATTTTGTCTTATTTCTATCTAGGATAACATACTATTATTTCTCTATTACTGGCTTCCAAATTTTTTATACTGATATGAAGTATGGCAAATTAAAACTAAGAGTGATCATCCTAAACCCATAAGCGTCGATCTGTTTCTAAATTCAATGAAAATCTTATTCCAACCAAATTTACCAATCCCAACTCACTACCTACTTAATTCAGTTCCACTAAATACCGATAGTCTATCACAAGAGTTATCACTGATAAAATAATCGATTTATTGCATACATAACATAAAATGCGAGCCTATTCTGAGTATAAACATTAGGTTATAAGTTGCATGAGATGAGAAAATAAAAGTCAATAGACAAAGATAACTGATAAATCAGAAAGTTTATACATAATTCAAAAACGAAAGAAGAGATAAGAAATGCTCAATTAAATTTTGAACGAAAGCTTATCGATGACAAGCGTGCTCGTAACTTTGCTCATTATCCCCTTATATCAGTTAAAAGTAATCCATTGTCACGAAATGGCATATTTACATATGCATTCATCAAATAAGGCTTACCTGAACCCTGCCAACCTGTACCACTTTGCCACTGCCATGTCTCACCAACGCCTCTCCATTCTTGAACACCGATACAAGTTTCCACTTCGTAAACATAGCGCACAATTTCAGACCACAACTGATCTACACTGAAAAAGAAAAAGAAGATTTTAATTGCAAGGTGAGAAATTCCATTTTATTCAGTGAAATTATATTACAGCAAGTGACTTCATAGTAAAACCTTAGGAACAGCTACTATAGCAGTATATGTGCAGTTTACAATGTCCTAACCTTGAACCCCTGCTATAAAAGTGAAACAACAGTAAAAGTAACTTAAATAAAACAAAGAAACGCAAAGATCCAGTACGATACATCACCTGATACCAAAATATGTCGTTGATGATCACAAAATTGGTAGGTAAGTAAAGTACAACTACCATAGGTATATTAGGAGCGACACTACGCTAGACGATAATTTTACTTGCCTACTGTCTACTTGATAAAGAGTTGTGTAGATAAAAAATCTTTAAAATGAAAACTTGAGAGAGAATAAATATGTTACTCTGCTCCTTGACTAAAGTGGCAGTACTAAGTTTATGACCATCAAGCTGCAGCACTGTTGATTAATATATAATATTGTGATGAAACCATTCCCTATTCAGATATTTAACGAGTGTTTCATGTGAAACTGATTTGTTCCAAAGTACTTTTGACCACAGACCAACATCCATTGCAGAACTATTGGAAATCATCCCAGTGTAGAACTTTTCGCCACGATACCATGTGGTGACGATTCTAGGGTGTTCAGATTTTGTAGTGACGATGTTACCATTGCATTACTGTTCGATAATCATACTCTTCCGGATGTAGTGTGATTATTAGCTCGTGTCACTAATAAACAACTATCCTTACACTCGAATCTAATAATTTATTAATGCACTAAGAAATAAGTAATTTATCTTACGTATCTTGAAAGAGGAATAAAATTGTTCAAAACCCATTACTTTATGCCATACGTAATGCATATGGTTTTCACGTACCATATACATTTCATCTATCGTTAGTCATATAATAGAGGAAGAATAACGTTTAGGTGGTGACGAAGTTCTTTTCTGAGCTGGTTTTGTGTCAGTCTACGCGAAAATCGACTGCAGTGGTTAGGATTAAGGTGATGAGATTCTTATTCTATATGCTTTTCTTCTTTTTTAGCGTCATTGTTCGTATTATCATCATCATTGCCTTTGTCACAGAGTGGCACTAATGGTCTTTCAGTTGATGTCAAACCCTGAAGGAAAATACCCTGTGACCAACCAATTGATTACTTTTACTAATTTTATTTTCTCACAACTTTTGCTCGACATATTACACGTGTATGTACTACTTTGTAAAAACATTTATGTCGTGTTTTGTTATTTTCACCGGTTTGTATGCTAAATTATCGCGACTAGTCAGTTGAGAATGATAACAGTCGGTTACTGTTGCAACACTTTAATAAACTATTTGCATTTAACTGTACTGTAATGGTGATCGGTGTATCACGGTGTAATGCACTAAGGGACTACACAGGTTTGTCGTTTCCAAAAAACAATTTGAACAATTAGTTTACTAACTTTTTTTCGCTAACTTTATTCATCTTACAACCATGGGACATATGAGTTAAACTTGGGCACTGTGGTAGGTTGTAATTCCATTTTGGTCTGTTCATTAGAACAGTACTATTTACTGAATAAAGTTCCGGATATAATTTATTGTCCATACTCATATTATTCATATCATTAATGATACTGTTGCTAGATTTAGTAGATCTGAGAAGCAAAATGTTTTCAGAATCTGAATTCATGATTCATCCACATTGTACTTTTTCGATGGATTAATGTTGGTAACATCAAAAAAAATTATGCCACACAGATTTGCAGAGGCAGTAGTAATAGTGTCTTCCATAATTGAGTGCTAAAAAAAACAAGTTTCTAGACAAAAAGAAATGCATAACATAACGATTTAGACTTTCAGAAGTTAGAAATTTTCTCTGGAGCTGTTCACGCTATTTCCACTGAATAGTGAATCCACAGGTCATATACTTGAAAGCAAAATCATACTTAACACTTTCACTGATACTAGAACGATTCCGTTGCCAATTATTTCATTAAAAATACCTTAAGTAATTCCTCAGTTAAAATATCCAACTTTCAAGTAGATAAAACTTGCTAGGTTAACTACTGATCGGCTATTTTTCAGCAGCTATAAACCTACAAGTATCAATTTCCTTAGCCGATAATAAGACAGTCAAATGGAAAAAATCTCTTTCATACAGTAGACACCTATTAGAAAGAGTCTTTTATAGGGGCATTGCAGCTATAGTTTATTTACTTCCATACTATAAAATAGCGGTGGCTACTTAAGGTTCTAGAAACCAAGCACAAACAAGTCATAAGGAATAATGTGAAAGATGTATTCGACTTCGTTTACAAATCAGAAAATGTGAACATATGATGGTTCATCGTTATCAAACAATGTGTTCTTTAATTAAGGTGAAATTTGATTACAGATATCAAAAATAAAAACCAACGTGGAATTTCCAGAAATTAGACTTGAAGTATGAGTTCAGAGGAATTTGCACCTTCTTATCAACAGTATATACTACAGACAAATTGAGAGGATCACCAAGACTTTATCCATAGGCCTAATTCTAGCAGAGCTTTTTCTTTCCGAATTGAAAAATGGACCGTTGAACTATGCCATCAACAATTTGGACATTCAAAAACGTTATATAGATGACACATAAATTATCCTTGTTTAGTGTCGACAAAATCGATTTATTACGGAAGGTTAACGGTGCACATCCTTCAATCTCATTCACCTGTGAAGACCAACATGGAAATATTGAGAAGAGATGGTGACTCAATGACCAGAAGTCTGCACAGAAGAGTCATTGCATACATCTTCTTAGCTTCGTGACCGTTTTAAATCAGAGAAGATAAGTTCAATGTCTTGCAACGAGATCCACACGAGTTGGCTTGGATGACTTATTACAAAAGAAGCTAAAATATATTCACAACATCCTAATCGAAACGGATTATCCCTATAGTTCTACATAAAAATACATGGAAATGTTAGGGAAAACTGGAAAAGTGGTCGAATTAAATAACTGTTTATGAAGCTAGAATACAGTCGGTACACCTAACGAAGTTTTATGCTAGAATTTGTAAAGAGCCATCCACAAAACTTCTTAAAGTGCTGATCCTTTGCGAACCGTTCTCTGGTCAGTCGACCTCTGATACTCACATGAAAAAAGACAAGTTAGTTCTGATAGATCCATGTGTTCAACAGTCAAGTTACTCTTCAGAAACCTGTCATTGAGCAAGTGAAGCCAATATGAAGTTCAGCTTTATCACATTTGGTAGATGAAACTTACAAGCTCAAAGTATTTAAAATAACACATTTCATTCGAAATTTCAGATGGGCGTTTGCATTCGGTTTTTACAAACAGTTGAAGCTATGCATGCAACACCAAATAAACCTATGCCTGGGTTTCGGAAAATGTATCAACTTTGTTGTCGCCTTAGCCGGAGAAAACTTGACAAACGAAATCAATTATTGTGAAATTTTAAACTTCTTTTTTTGATGCTTTTCACTAGATCGGTGGATATGGAGGGTCTACCAAAGGATATGGTAAACTCTAATCTCACTCAGGAGTCGTTGAAGCGAAAGATGGTGATTAGTCAATCCTAAGTAGGATAATAAGAATCATCTCGCAGCTGTGTGCAGATCCTTTGTTTCGAACTAATACCAACAAAAATCATAACCATCAACGCTGTGATACCACGCGTCTTCCCGCAGATACTTAAATTTAACTTAAATAGATCACATTGCGATTGGCTACCGATGACGTAGATAGACTCAGAATTCTAGCCCCATTTGGAGTACTTGTATGAACCGTAATGACACTTAATAACGTACTTAGTTCATTTTGCATTTCAACGGTCATCAAAATCTTCATATTGAGCAGACCAACATAAGTACATTTATAGGTCTCACTATGGCAACTAAATACCACACCGCGATAGACTGACAGTTCCTTTGGTTATGCGAGTGAACAAAAAATAACCAATGTCATTTAAAAATTACCTACTCGTGATGCTTTTGTCGTAGGTGGTCGCGTATTCTGTGGACGGGAATATATGGAGGCTGGTTAGGATTAGCTTCATTTTCTCGTAACTGATTTTGTAACAAATCTTTTTAAAGAGGCAAACAAAAAGAGTCAGTACATAAGTAACAATATTTCCAGTTACTTTTTGATGAACATAACAATGATAAGATTAATATCAATCCCTTGGTTATATGATACATGCACTAGTTACGACACGGCGACGTAAGAACACACCAATGGACCATGCAGTCAACTCCCGAGGGCAATCAGTGCGACACTATTAAGCACATTATTGAATTTTAAGCTTAAAAGTAGATCACACAACCCACAATAAAGGGTCTTTCCATTGAATGAAAGACAAAAAATGAAGAGGTTGATATTTCACATAACCTTAACAATCGCTCATGGATAATCATACTGCTAATAGTTACGCGGTATTGAACATAAAGTATGGTATAGTGATAGTCAGATGCTGAATTCATGTAAGGTGATCTAAAAAGAAAGAATATTCTGATAGTTCAAAGTTGACATCAGCGTGGAAACTGAACAGATCTATCTGAAGCAGTATCACAGACACAGAGAAAATACGGAAAGAATAGCTAGCGAATTCTTTGTTGGTTACTCCTTATAAGCAGTCAGGTAATCATGGCTATGATAAATCATTCAGGCGCAAATTCCTGTTCTTTTCTTGCAAGCGAAGTTTATTCGTCCAAGCAATCAACTCTTTCCATGGGCGTCAGCTCAAAATCATATCTGTGTAATAAGGTTACGTTTAGCAAGCAGGTTTACGTAGAAGCATTAAACTTTACGCAATAGATGAGTTTATAACACCCAAAGCCTTATATACTTGTTGTGCTGAATCAAGTGTGTATATTTTATCAAATTCAGTTATAAACATACTGACCAAACAAGCACCTCAATGACAAATTATGTTATGAATCACACAAGTAAATCACTGTTGTAACAAGAGAAATGATGCCAAGATTTGCAGCTAACCGCTTTACCTATACAAATAAAAGCTATCAACAATAATCATGATCTGAATGTCATTTTAAGAGCGAATTTACTTGAACATTACTGAGTTGTCGCTCAATTTAACTGCATACGAATCAAAGAAAAACCTCGCACAAAAGTGTATTGGTTTAAGTTGTCAATATTCACAGCAACACACGAAAAAAACTTCGGTAGGAAAAGTGATGTGGAAAGAGAAATCATTCAAACCATAAAAATCAACAGAAATTTTCAAACTTTCAAAGATATAAAAGAGTGAATACATCTACTCCATTGCAACCAATTTTCACCCATATCACCAAGAGTTTCCATCCAACCACTGATTTCTATCATCTCCAGCACCCAAGCCAAACAGTCTACACTACGCCGAACGGCTGGGATCAACAGTCAAAGACTTCATAGACTAGTGCCACGTCTCGGTCTTACCATGCTGAGTCGGCTAACATTGCGAGTTGAGCTAGGCAGCAGGTCGGCATGCACGACACATGTGCAAACCACCACAGTCGATTAGAGTTCACGACCTCATCGATACCCCCTTTCCCTCCTTGCCCAATACCTTCCACCTAACCTCGACATTGCTCACATGATGATTCCACCATACGCAGGCGATACTATAAAGACACCTGTGGTCAAAAGCCTGTAGCCTCTTCATATCTTCTACTTTCAATGGCTGTGTCTTGCAGGTGTATAGTGGGACTGAGTGGATTGCGGTGCGGTATGCTCATCTTTTAATAGGCAGTCGGATATCTCGCCAATCGGTGCCAGTGATGGTTTAAGTTGGCAAATGCCAAGTGGCCCTTTTGTATCCAAAATTTACTAAACAGTATGCCGATCTGTTGAATTTTTCCGAATCGATCGTCTTCGTCGCGAGAGAAGAAAGTGGAGAAGACTATCAATAAGTAGTGTTCTACATATAAGGGAAACAAAGTACATATTTTTCCAACTGATTTGATTTATGCAACATTATCCTCAATCATAATAATGTACTTTACGATTTCACTTATCGTAAAATATAAAGGATGATGACAAATTTCAATAGGGTTCGTATACTTTTAATGAACAAGTATAATTTATCATATTAAATAATGCAGTTATAAGCAAATATTTGCAACACAGTACGAAAAACTATGGAGTAGGTGGATATAGAATAACTTATGATATCTATTTTTAATTGCAAAGAAAATAAGCATAATTACATTAATCTTTTTCCGCTTATCTTAACAAATGAAAAGTAGAACTGTATGTGGATATACATTATTCACTGTAGAATCAAGTCATTCATCATAGAATGTGCTAGGTAGTATTAATCCATAACATTGTTGACACGAAGTTAGACACAACAGTCCACTAATATTGAGATTTATAGCACGATCCTCGATAGAGCATGATCAGTTTTGCATACCTTTTTTATAGTTATCAACATCTACTCGGATTAATTATTTTTTCCTTGGTCGGAAAAATTTGCTAACTTAAGAACCAATCAACACATTTTCTGGGTGGCCATACCTTTATATGTACAGAGTAGTTGGAACTCATAGTCTGATTGTCAGATGCTTATACCAATAAGCCACAGCTGTTCGAAAAATTACCTCATTCTGTAAATAAAATAAGATCTAAAGGCGATATAGTGTGATGATGCTATTACCACCAAGCAGCTACACCCTAGTTTCGTCAAAAAAATACTAGAGTAAGATTTAGAATAGAATGTGCGTAAAGAAGTGGTGGTTTGGTTTCAGTAACAACTGACTTACACACAACTTCCGCCACTAACTCTCTAATTCGGCAAGCCCGGCGTTCTAAGGAGTGTAGTCGCTTAGAGCGCAGTAGATACACTCCATAACCGATTCCAAAAATCACCGAGCAAACTAACGTGATCCAAAACACAGTTATGAAGACACCAGTGAACCATTGAAACCACTGACGGAGGCGACAAAGACCAGGAAAATATGGCCTAAGACTCTCAAGTTCAACTATTTGCTCTACTCGACTAGAAAATAGAAAAAAGTACGCTGTTAATTATTATACATATGAAAGTTTGATAAAGAATATCAACATTTTGAATTTCACCATTTTAGCTCGTTTATTAAATGAATCACACAATGAAATGGTATTATCATCTGAAAGCACTTAATAAATAAAAATATAACTGTACTACAGAACTTAAGTTATGCTTTTAAAGGTTTCAACCCACATTTTTAAAATCTGAGTGCATACTTCTTCGAATCTAAACTAGATCAGATAAAAAATCCCTCCTTACGGTGTTTGCTGTCATATGCAAAATCTATGCGATGTTAATAAATCTAGCATGGAAAGATCAAAATTTACGCGAGTGACCTCCAGGTTTCCAATTCTCAATCCTTTGAATTCAGAACTAGAGAGGAAGACAGACAGTTACTAAAAAACACAATGGTCGTGGATGAGTTTTGTTTACGACACAAGTTCCAGTAAGTCCCTCCATAAAGACTTGAATGAAGTCACTACCAACCTACACAACACAAAGTAGGATGTAGAGATGCTAAAAGTATGTCGGTATACATTTCACTAGCCATTAGTTTCCAATATCGCGACAATCAAAGTTAGGATAAACGCATTTTCTCCTCAGACCAACTAACACTGACATAGTCGGTTGGTACCATACTTTCGGCTCCTCAACCTAAGTTTATTAGCTCCTTCCTCAAAGATTGAGATGGTGGTCAAATCTGCATTTAACAGTGACCCAACCAGCAATGCTGGGAACATCTGTTCCTTGATGACCTATCATAGGACAAAGGTCTCATCGACAGGAGAAAAGCAGTTACTGCCCTAGCGTACATTTCTACCTGGTGATGAGAGTTCGCCAGTGAGGTTGTACTTCCGGTTGCAACGGGATTGACAGGAATAAGGTGTTTCCCATGGATGACAGCAGTACCATGCTGATGTTGCCTTCTTTATGGGAAAGGGTGTTTAGATAAGGTCGGCATCAAATATTGGAATACTCTACCCTGTGGTCTTTCAGTAACTGTAGAATGGCTTTATAGCTGGGTTCAAAACAAACGAACTTAGATACCAAACGTTCAAAAGTGTCACATAAACGGTCTATAAGAGTTGTCCTAAGGGCTCTGAGGTCCTGTAAAATAAATACCTCCTTCAGAAATCTTGCAGAAGCAACTTTCACTGAAGATCGAGAAGCAACAAAAGCATGCAGGCTCCCAGAAGCATAAAAACTCAACTAACCGTAACCCACATAACTTACATCTCCTCCCTTGTCTTCATTAACTGATATCAACACTAAACCTCTTACAACTTCCTCAACTGCTTGATCTGCTACTATTGCTAGCAAACCAGGCCATCAAATCATCGATTTCAAACTGAAAATTTCAAAGTACGATCCGTAGGCCAATTTGGATAATAGGTGTCTTTCCAAATTCCGAAATCTCAAGCCGTGGATGTATATCATTTTTCTGAAATACACATAAAATACCTAAGTGTGGCTATTCACTTGACCTTACCCAATCAATAGGACGAATCAGAAAAATTGACATTATGAGTGTACGGAAATTCAATGCCTGGCTTTCATGAACATGGCGGTGCAAAAAGCTTATTCCTCCGATGAATACCAGTCAACAGTCAACTTCCTACTATCTAACATAGCGGAACCATGTGAACTTAGAAAGACCATAAAACTCATCGAGGCTTATTCGTAGTCGCGGCCTACGCTCATACCGAATGCAGTCTGAATAAAACAAAGCATGGACTCTATAGAGAGTTGTCAATTTCGCCACACCAAGGAAAGTGGTGAGACAAAGTCATAGAAGCAGGAGACCAATGCTCAAGAAGGGAAGCTGAATCGACCAGAAAAGTGTCTTAAAGGTATGTACGAAATGCCAAGCCAACGGGACAACAACAGTGATCGTCTCACATAACTTTGCACTAACCATCACTTGTATCTAGTTAGTACTAACTTCAAACATAAAAAGAGTACTATCTCACTTGACGTTCATTAACGTCAAACTAACGGTGGACGCAAATCATCCTGCAGTAAGTCATCGTCGGAGGCTGAATGCTGCTCTTCCTAGAGAATCCGTTCAGACTTAGACAGGGCATTTGTACGAGGCACAAGAATGCTTACGTATCAATTGGCAAAGGAAACAGCATACCAAGGCCTGTATGTGCTAAACTAATGGACTAGGAAGTCAAATGTGCATTTGCAGAAGACATATACTTTACCTGGAAACAGCAGCACCTTACTCTTAAATAATATTTCGCGTAACACTAAGTCGACGGAAGAAAAAAGTAGTAAAAATAATGGCAAACTATATCTACATTACCGAAGCGCGTGGACATCTGCAACCGCACCAAAGACGATTGATGAAAGCAGACACATTCCAACCAGCTTTGACCACAATGAGAAGCGAAAGCAGTTCGAACCTAAATTGACCAGGTGCTTGGGAAAAGCGAAAGAGATCCTAGGGTCCATAGTTATCCCACGCCTACCTCAAGCTCAAGAAAATCAGACAGGTTTCAGGCCTAGACCAGGACCCACCGATCAGATTCCCCCCCCCCCCCAACAGTTTCTGGGATACGGGAATACTTACCGGCAGCCGACACTTGCCATATTTCTTGACCTGAATGTGGTATTCGACTCAACTTCAAAGCACAGACAAAATATAAAAAGTAAAAACAAACTTATTCCTCGCTGGAATCAGGGAGACAAAATGACGCCAGTTGATGAAAACTTCCAGGAAGCCAATCAACCGATGTGTCTTCTCTTCTCTCGATGAAAGTGAAAGTAAACATGGGGACATGGAATGTCCGCACCATGTTTGAACCTAACAAGGCTGCCCAGATTGTAAAACAAATGAGAAGATATGGTACAGAAGTGCTAAGAATCTGCAAAAGCAGATGGAAAGGAATAGAAGTGGACTCTCCAAACTGTCAACTGGAGAATCAATAATCTACTCCGATATTGTCACACACACGACAACCACGAGCACATTCAGTTTTCGAGTGGCTATCATCATGCCCCCAACAGCATCGAAGACTCTCATACAGTGGGAACCAATCTCCTCAATGATCAGGATCATGACAGCAAGATTCAAATCAAAAGGAAGGAAGGTCACAATCATACAATGCTGCCCTACGCACTTACAAATAATGTGGATCAAGAGAAAAAGGAGGAACTCTACAGACAACTGCAATCAACACTGGATAAGACCCCACTCCAGTTGGCCACATCAAATTCTAATGAGCAACATGATTGTCAAACTGAGAGCGGACAACACAGAAAGAGAACTAACCCTGCGTCGAGAGGCACTCAGTTAAATCAAAGAGAAGGGAGAATCGTTTGCAGAAGTCTGCGCATTCAACGATTTGCTGACTGGAAGCACTGAGTTCAAGCACAAGGATATCCACAATACGACATGGATTTCACCAGACACCAGGACACACTAAAAATCAGATCAATCCCAAGAAAGTGGAGACGCAACCTACTTGACATAAAGGTCAGGAAGAGGAGCAGATGTAGGCTCAGACCACTCATTATCTAGTGCAAGAAACCTTCCAAATCAAGTTAAAAGCCTTCACAGAAGTTGGTGATAGACCACAGTTCAAGTTTAACACCAAGAACAGAAACTGAAGGACGAAACTACAAATGAAATCTTCACATCAGCCGTCAAGACAAAATGGGAGACATTAAGCAACATCTCTGAAGAAACCTGAGTGGAAGAACACTGGAAGTCTTTGAAAGCTGTGTGGAAGGAAACCTGCATAACCGTATTAGGAAGGAAGAAGCAAGACAATGGATCGATCTCCACGGACACATGGAAGCTGATAGAGCAGGGAGAGGAAGATGGTGAAGCAGAACATAAACCAGTGCAAGGATGCTCAACGACAAGAGGAACAGAATACAACCTATAAAACACTGGACAAAGAAGTGAAGAAGAGTGCGCGCAAACACAAAAGACACTTCTACAACACACTGACAGGTGAAGCAGAACAGGCTACAGTTAGAAGAGACAGAGACCTGACAACATTGTGTCAAATAACCAGATTACTATCTGGGAAGGGATCAACATAGATGAAACCAATAAAAGATGATGAAGGAAACCTAATTACCAAAGATGAGAAACAAAGGAAACGATGGGTTGACCACTTCGAAAAGTTCTTGAATCGACCACCTCCTGCAGCCACGGAACCAAAAGTGAACACAAATCCTCCGATGAAAGTCAAAGTACTGAACGCCATAAGGCTACTGAAATGCGGGAAAGCAGCAGGATCAGATGGAATCCAGCCAGAAGCACGAAGAACAGACGCAGGGACAACAACCGACATGCTCACATTATCATCGCAGAGGGTCTAGAAGGAAGGAAAGGTACCTGACGATTGGAAGAAAGGCTACCTTGTCAAACTCCCAAGGAGGGGAGACCTAAGTCTTTGCGAGAACTGGCGCGGAATCACTCTCCTGTCCACCCAGTTCAAGCAAAATATTAAGCCGCATCATCCTGGAGAGACTAAAACATATGCTGGATTCAAAACTACCACCGGAACAGATTGGCGGGATTCAGGAAGTATAAATCATATGGGGATCAAATTGTGACGCTACGCCACGCATAGTCATAGAACAGAGTATAGAATGGCAGTCAACCCCCTACCTCAATTTCATCGACTTTGAAAAGGCCTTTGACAGCGTCGACCGACAAGTAATTTGGCAGCTGCTGCTTCAACACTACAGAATACCACAAACCTTTATCAGCCTCATTCAACAACTATCTGAAGATGCCATATGCCAAGTAATTCACAATGGGGAGCTCAGTGATGCTTTCGAAGTGAAGATAGGAGACAAAAGTAAGACAAGGCTGTCTACTATAGCCCATGATATTCCTGATTGTAGTGGACTGCACCATGCAACAAACAGTGAGGAGCGAGAAGAGGGGGATGCGCTGAACCGATGAAAAAACGCTAGAAAATTCAGATTTCGCCGATGACTTATATCTAACGTCACATAAACTTGAAGATCTACAGGAAAAAACAAACAAGTTGGCAGAAGAGGCAGCGAAGACGGGACTTCCTTCAGGTGAACGTAGAGAAGACAGGTGATGGAGGTACCCAACCAACAACAACAACAACAAGCATCAATCACCATCAACGGGAGAAACGTAAAGGAAGTAACCTCCTTCGCCTATCTAGGCAGCACTGTTTCAACTACAGGCAGCACAGAAGAAGACGTCAAAGCCAGGATCGGAAACACAGAAAGACAGGCCTTCAATAACCTGAAATTAGTGTAGAGATCTTCTGCACTCAGCATAAAGCGTGAACAAGATCCGGATTTTCAACACCAAGTCAGTCAAGTCACTGCTTCTATATGGTTGAGAGACTTGGCGAGATACGAAAGGGATTACCGACAAACTACAGACATTCATCAACAACTGCTTACGCTCGCTACTGAAGATCAGATGGCCAGGAAGAATAAGCAACAAGAAGCTCTGGGAACGAACCAACTAAGAACCTATTACCCAACAAATATGCAGAAAGAAATGGCGATAGATTGGGCATGCACTGAGAAGACCATTCGGAGATACCACGCACCAGTCTCTCGAGTGGGACCCAGATGGGAAGCGACGAGTTGGGTGTCCGAGGATGATATGAAGGAGAACGTGCAAAAAGGAAATGAGAGCTTCTGGGCCGTCGTGGAGCCAGGTTCAAAAGATTGCAGAGAACAGAACGCAATGGAGACGTGCTACTGAAGCCGTACGTTCCACTAGGAACCAAAGGGAAAAAAATGATGATAATAGTATTATTATTATTATTAATAATAATAATAATAAAACTCTCTACCCGGACTCATGCAGTTGTGCAGGAACTTAGGGAGAGATGTCATATATCGCAGCAACAACTAGTGCCCGGCAGCAATGTTATCTAATCCTGAAGAGCATGTGGCTGAGACATGGATTAATCGGATGACATTCTTCCGTTATGCCAGGATGCTGACGAAATATAAGGTCTTCTAAACGCCTTAAGGAGAAATCCTTCTATATTTGGTTTCACTGCACAGCTGTTAAGCGTAAGATAATGTCCCAGGACTGGTCTCCACTTACTCCCAGTGTGAGGATACGTAGTGAGGTGGTAGAATGCGTTAGCCTCTTCACTCACTTTGGAAGTTGCATCAACCCGAACAGACTGGCTACTGACGACAACTCAGCTTGGATAAAAAAGGGCCACTTGGCATTTGCCAACTTAAACCATCACTGGCACCGATTGGCGAGATATCCGACTGCCTATTAAAAGATGAGCATACCGCACCGCAATCCACTCAGTCCCACTATACACCTGCAAGACACAGCCATTGAAAGTAGAAGATATGAAGAGGCTACAGGCTTTTGACCACAGGTGTCTCTATAGTATCGCCTGCGTATGGTGGAATCATCATGTGAGCAATGTCGAGGTTAGGTGGAAGGTATTGGGCAAGGAGGGAAAGGGGGTATCGATGAGGTCGTGAACTCTAATCGACTGTGGTGGTTTGCACATGTGTCGTGCATGCCGACCAGCTGCCTAGCTCAACTCGCAATGTTAGCCGACTCAGCATGGTAAGACCGAGACGTGGCACTAGTCTATGAAGTCTTTGACTGTTGATCCCAGCCGTTCGGCGTAGTGTAGACTGTTTGGCTTGGGTGCTGGAGATGATAGAAATCAGTGGTTGGATGGAAACTCTTGGTGATATGGGTGAAAATTGGTTGCAATGGAGTAGATGTATTCACTCTTTTATATCTTTGAAAGTTTGAAAATTTCTGTTGATTTTTATGGTTTGAATGATTTCTCTTTCCACATCACTTTTCCTACCGAAGTTTTTTTCGTGTGTTGCTGTGAATATTGACAACTTAAACCAATACACTTTTGTGCGAGGTTTTTCTTTGGTTTGTGTGTCTGCTTATGTTCCCTGGTCAACGCAGAACTTTGCAGTAACTGTTCAGCCGGCTTTGCATACTACATGAAACTGATGGTTGGGAAGTTTAAGCGATATGGCTCAAAATAGATCGCAGTATTAATGATGCTTCGGTTTATGTTTGTTTTCACCGTAATAGTATACCTATTTTATTCTTCCATCCATCTTCTTTTCATCCTATGGTTTTCCAGCACTTTGGACAATAATACTCTTACGTCTTTTGTCATCCTGCCTTTTAATTCAAACTGCTGATGTGTTTTGGTAACTCGTATCGTTGCACAGCTATAGCAGACCTTACGTTACTAATATAACCCTTCCCTGAAAATGCACCTGTCACTTGAATGATCAGATTTGTTACTTCAGTCAACTCACCTCCCTCAACTTAATAATTTGCCTAACCTTGAAACTCCTTCCAGTGCGGTCCGAACATAGTCATTCATTGGTTTGAAGATAGTTATCATTTAATAGTATGATGTGTGGTAAGATAGCACGATATCGCATTGCAAACTCAATTTATGGAAAGAGAATGCTTTACGTAATTGTGTAACAATTTCATGCTATCAACTAATCTGATTACATGCAAATTGTCATGTGGGTAAATAAGTTAATATCCCCATTCAATTTCCTTTAGTGCTGAAAAAGGCGTTGCGAAGAATGACTATGTAATCATTTTACATTTGAAAAATGAAAAAAAAACAACCTAAAAGATAAGATTTCTGGGAGAACTGCCATACATCACTCTCTTAGTTGTGCTTTTATGATTTAAAAGTAATCAAATCTACCGTGCAACTGCACTAGTCATGACTGTCACGGGTGAGGGAAATATAAAGTTTATGCCGTCTAAGATTGCTTTTACAGTCACAGTGACTGCGATGAATTATCTCGCATATAACAGAATGTCTTATATTAAACAACTACAGTTCAATAGTGTTGTAATGCAATGTAAGCCAGAACCATCACATTTCGATTTTACATGCTCTAGGGATGTGTTCATGACACTATAAATTATTGTCAACACTTCATAGACTCATATTAACAACTCAAAGGTAGATACAGGAAAAACAGATTTAATTAGTGCAAAAACAAGCCAAGGACACTAAACATTTCTGCTTTGTAATTACTTTTTATGATAATTATCCCCCGAAGTATAACTTTCCATCGTAGTACCGCTAATCATAAACTTCCTCATTAGTAAGGGCATTGTAATCATTGAACACATAAAAACAATGTCATCTAAACATTTTTTAAATTCGACAGCTTACCTGAACGGTCCTAGTTCGGACTTAGCAGCATCAACAGCAATAAGATTGAAATGTGTCTTCCCAACGTGTAACAGCACATATAATGTATTATCCCATACACGACGAAAACTAGTCCTGGCAAATGTTGGCCAACCTTTCATTTGTAAATTGCGCTCAACCAAACCTTCAGCGGAAGAAACTGAGAGACGAGGACTAGTCAGCACCCCAACTTTACAGTGAAACTCTCCTGAAATGGGAAGGTTAATTATAGAAAGTGGATAAATTCGTTGATGCTTTGTGTGCATGAGCTTAGCTGAGTAACAACATCAAACAACCTCTTCCTCAATACACAACCGACAAACGCTTTCATCATAAAGGACTGATATAAACTGACTTCTGACTTGATCGGGTAGCAGTAACATGCTTACACAAGACATGGTCCTTAGTTCAACCCCCATCATGACATTGACAGTGAATACTACAGAGACTAAAAATTTAAGGGAACGGGTGTCCAGTGAGTTTTTTTAAGCGGTTCCTGATATGGAGAAGGTTTCTAGAGACTATATTTCAACAAAGTGAAAAAACACTCTTCAAAGTAGTGCAAGAAACTTACCAGCATATCGACTGAGAATATCGTACAGGATGCCAAGAACTGATAAGGATTCAGTTAAATCATCTTCACGAAGACAGCGCTAAATAACCAGATAGAAATTACAAACATCTAAATACACTTACATGTAAGCCTTTTGCAAAACTAACATTTAGATCCTCCAAAGATCGACAAAGCAGTTTCTGTACACCTGAGTTTAATCGGGTAAAGTGAAAAACAGATTATTACCACAAAAAAGATAATTAAAGAAGCAATGAAAATACTGTGTAAACTTAATAAGTGTATTGGGCATTTGAGTAGCATATAAGTGTCATGATTAATGAAAAACAAAGAAAAACTACTGTATGAAGTCAATAACCGTTTATCTGAGCCTTATGGGGAGAAAACAGACCTAATGGTTGGAGCACAGTGAACAGTAAAAATTAGGGTTAGGATAAATCAGATAAAGTAACTAAAGAAAGTTAGTGCTGAAAATAAGTGTACCCTTTATTTTTGTTCAAAGCTTGGATAGTCTATCCTGTTTTTTCTTATGTATCTCTTCTGCACCCTAACTGTAGTTCACTGTGCCGCCTGAAAGCATGAAAACGACCCAATACACTAGTGTCAACCATTACTCTAGACAGCCAGTCGGCTGAAAATCCATATGCACTGAATTCATATCAATAGTAGTTAAACATTCAACAACTTTGATCCGAGACATTAATTTGTTGTGAATAAGCATTCAGTGATATATTTTATCCAATAGATTGATGAACATAATTGCTTATTTTATTCAAACGTGGTTTGATAAAAGCCTAAATCCAAATTTCTGCTGCCTGAACAAGGAGGCCCTTACACCTTATTTTCTCATGGCACTCAAGAATGATAACCATGGTTCATGAAAGTAGAATACGATAATGTGGATTGCCTCATACTATTTTCCATCACTGGCATACAGAAAACACGCAGATACGTATGGACAGAAGTTTCGTTGGTCTCAAACGAACATCAATATTCATATCGGGATTCTGTAGGTTACCGGGCTTTCGAGGATTACATAAGGCTTCAAACAGATAACGCAATCACCTGACAAAAGCCGTTTAACCACAAACCTCTCTTTTTTCATAAGTAAGTAAATGATTGTAAAATTCTTGGTGTCTTATCAACCAAAAGCATGATAAAATCATAATCATTTTTAAGAAGTTTAGGATAAGGCTGGTATTCTCCGCACGAATGATCGAAGATCTGTAAGTCATTCGTACAACGCTAGTATAACTACAAATGAGAAAATTCCGACTTCAGTGGGTGCTAAATGAGAGCAGGGAGATTGTTTCAATTAGAAACCAGCTACACACTTAAATACAGGGATCAAGTGAAATACTATTCATAACGTTCAAAATGAGAATCAGTGATTAGCTACGCTCGGGTTAGTGTTCCAATTATGAACGATATACTGTCATCCCCCAAAATACCATGTAACAACGTCAGGAAACGGGTTCAGTGGAATTACGCGCACTATCCCACAGGTTGTGAGCAGAACTAGCTAGCAGAACAATGCAGTTTTCTCTTAACACGCATATTCTTGGTATCAGAGGGAAGTAGGAACAAACAAAGTTTCAAATTTGTCACTGAACAGGATTTATTGCATTATATCAGTATCTTACCTGCCATTTTGCCAACTTCGCCATGATGATCCTTCAAGAACAAGTAACTTGCTAACAACACAATAAGTAAGCATATACTGGAAACAAGTATTAAGTTGGGAATTTGCGAAACATTCCATGAAAAATGTTTTCCGAATAAAGGACGAGTAACATTTTTCTCCTGACAATACTGTTTCTCGCTGTCAACAGGGTCATCTGTATCGGCATCCTCAGAAAGCACAGAAATATCATGATATGCGGATTTAGCGAACCTTCGGGAAGATGGTGGAGTGAGTAGAAGGCCAGGAGACGTCGTTATTCCAGCATCTCGTGATTTCACGTTCCTTAAAGTAGTATGGAATAAGGGGATATTTATAAGTTGGTTTACCCCTAAATGAAATGAAACACTAGTGAATGAACTAAGATACACGGGTGTATACACTTATTTTTACTAGGATGCTGTTTAGTGCGCATATTTCAAAACGGGGTGAGATTTTAGTTCAACCTTGAATATATTGATGAAACAATAATACCCATTTGAGTTTTTTTAACTGGAAATTAGGATTCTATACTCTTTCAAGTGGACTCTTGGTAACTGCTAGTCTAACGATAAGTACCGGATTCTAAATGGTAGTGAAAAGGTTTTCCACGTACAGGCTATGGACATAAGTCTGTATAACAGCTTGTTGACAGTAGGTGCTGAACATTTTGTCACACTAGGGACTTCGAGAAATTCCCATCAGATTCCCTTTTTCTAGCACTTTACAAGTAGTTCATTAGCTTTATCCAGTTTGTTACAAGATAACTCGTACACTAAAAGACCCAGATCTGAAAAAGACGTCGATCAACAAATGGCGACATTCAATGATATATGTTAATATTCCCAATCTTAATTACACTAAATGTCTACAGTAACTTGCTGTCATAAATGACACGTTTCTGCTACACATAATTTACACTGAGTCGAAAATGAAGTGGACTAAACTTTTGAACAGAAAGCAGTGCGATGAGAAGCAGTCACAGAAAGTTCAACTGAACAGGTTCAGTTCAGATAGCTACATTCAAAACTAGGTCATCTACTAAATTCTGGTATATCTAAGATTGAAAACATTTGTTTCCCGATACAAATTTAAAACAAGCAACAAGTGTGAAAAAAGCAGGATTTAATGAATTCGTAAATTTCAGTAGTACTCGTCAGCTGGATACTCTACATACTTGATCATACATACCGTTAAGCAATGGAAAAGAGCAAGCATACATAGCGCAGACTGAGACAGATTTAGGTGTAACATAAAAGTGAATAGTTTTTATAGGTCAAATGGTAATCCAGAGGATAGAAATGGATATTCAAAATGGTTGATATAGGGGTGAGAACTGAATCGATTGAGCGTCGATCACGTCGTTGAAAACAAGACAGTTAATAGTACTTATGCAGACAATAAGAAAACAAGGTGTATATTGAGATGACTAATAATAACATTGGCAATAGGAATAAGGTTAATTAGACGGAGTAAATCAGGGAAGGAAAAAATATGAGATGAGTGATAATTAATAGCGAAGAGTAAAATACGAAAGATTAAATATGATTAGTCAATGTTGTAATTATTACCATGGCAGATTCAGGCTACCATTTCCTTCTGAATGCAAAGTTTTGGTTTGACAACTCGAATCGTGCAGGCTTCTACATATCCAAGCAACTTCTTATTTTGCTGTCTACTGATAACTTTAAAGGACTTATAGGTATCAATATCATGTACATAGTCCATTGGGTGCTTCGTTATCGAGCTCCTCGAGGTCTTCTTTTCGGCATGCTTCAACCATTTCGGTATGTGTTTAACCATTCGGGTGGACAGACGCTGCAATACCCTTTTGGCGGTGCTAAGAAAAACCAGTTTAGCTGCGTAGTAAGTCCTTCTGACAGACTTCTCGAGTCTTCGTCTAACTACCTCTAGCACGTCGTCACCTTTGAATGGCAAGGTGACATAGGCTGGTTTCTTCTTCTATGTTGTTTCACCTAAATCTGTCTCAGTCTGCGTTATATATGTATGTATGTATGCTCTCTTCCATTGCTTAACGGTATATATAATCAAGTATGTAGAGTATCCAGCTGACGAGTACTACTGAAACTTATGAATTCATTAAATCCTACTTTTTTCACGCTTGTTGCTTGTTTTATATCTAAGATTCACCTCTCAATCAGTACATGAACAGTAAACCCTTTTGCTTAGCTTGTTAGAAGTTGAAATATCCAGTGAAAATACAAAAGATAAACAGAATTGTAAAAAATGCACCAACCGAAAACCGTAGAACTTATTTGACTTGTCAACCATATTGATTTATATCTGAGGTAAGTGATTTATATTCTTGAAACAGTAAATATGCTTGAACTAAATTACATTCATAGTCCAAGAATGAGCAAAACCAGTGAGATATTCAAGCCAAAAGAGAATTCTGATGAAAAATCAGGACGGAACACTGTTGTTGAGTATTAGCTATGAATTAAACTACATGCACGAACAGGCTATACAGCTTAAAGCAAATTGGTTCCCACCTCTATAAATTACGGTCACACAATATTGATGAAACCATCTCCAACTTATCACGTCACATTTATAAATTTTATTTCTTATGACGAACCTGAAGAGCACCGTTATGTTTAGCTGTCAATATGGTGAAAACTAAAACTAGTCACAATATTATTGCAAGATGTTCTTGTTCGATCACACATAGTTCCTTTAGTGTTTAAAAAACCTCTACCTAAAACAGAATACAAACCTGAGTGGAGAAGTGTACAGCTTCTTGAAGAATGGACTACGTCCAGAGTTTTCAATATCGGAATTGTCTGTGTCTGATATTTGTAGGTGATCATTATGCATAGAATAAGGCGAACGAGGCTTGGATTTTCGATAAACAGACTGATTCCCAGGAGATTTTGGTTTGGTGAATTCATGAGCACTTCGGTTTAGCCAGCCAGCAACTCTAGACAAAGTCGATGCAACCGGACTTGATTTTTCAGATTCTTCGTCTGTATCATCCTCAGCTGCAGAATCTTCCTTGATATAAATATATGTTTTCCTAGCTGGTGTGCAGTCTAAGGTGTTCTGTGTCAAATCCCGCGAAAATCTCCGCACAGGAATTTGCTGTCGTGGAGACACTGCTGAAGTGACAATGCGTGTGTTACTATGAATCATGCTCGTAGCCTTAGGAAAAGATGGTTCATTTGGAGGGGAACTTGGAAACAGGTCAGAGTATGGTTCAGATAAATCCATTACGTTATTTCTAAAAGACTGAATTTTGGTGTTTGAGTACGATTTCGAGGTGAAGTTCCTGTCCTCTTCAGTCCCTGAATTGAGAAATCGAAAAGTAAAATGAATTTTGAAGTGATTATGAAAAAGGGCAAATTATTTTGATGAAACTTAATAGACCTTCCAACTGATTTTACATTAGCATGAAGGAGAACAGAAACGAAGCCGAAAGTTATCGTTACGAACTGCGATACACAACAAAACAAATCGGATCCAGATAACAAGTCAAAAAATTTAATATTAGCTAGAAAACGTAATTATTCAACATGATCATCAACTACTGGGTGCTATTGAGAGATAACATTTCACTACACCGATAATCAGACAAAATCAGCGTAGAATATCGCAAAAACAACTACTTCACAGCACCATACTAAACTAGTATATAGTTACAGGCCAATAGAAAAGATTGATATCAGATTGGAAGGAGGCGGATGGCAGAAAAACGAATTTAAAAATCACAGTAAATCAAAATGCTCAAACTTTTGAAGATATAAAAGAGTGAATACATCTACTCCATTGTAACCAATTTTCACCCATATCACCAAGAGTTTCCATCCAACCACTGATTTCTATCATCTCCAGCACCCAAGCCAAACAGTCTACACTACGCCGAACGGCTGGGATCAACAGTCAAAGACTTCATAGACTAGTGCCACGTCTCGGTCTTACCATGCTGAGTCGGCTAACATTGCGAGTTGAGCTAGGCAGCTGGTCGGCATGCACGACACATGTGCAAACCACCACAGTCGATTAGAGTTCACGACCTCATCGATACCCCCTTTCCCTCCTTGCCCAATACCTTCCACCTAACCTCGACATTGCTCACATGATGATTCCACCATACGCAGGCGATACTATAAAGACACCTGTGGTCAAAAGCCTGTAGCCTCTTCATATCTTCTACTTTCAGTGGCTGTGTCTTGCAGGTGTATAGTGGGACTGAGTGGATTGCGGTGCGGTATGCTCATCTTTTAATAGGCAGTCGGATATCTCGCCAATCGGTGCCAGTGATGGTTTAAGTTGGCAAATGCCAAGTGGCCCTTTTTTATCCAAGCTGAGTTGTCGTCAGTAGCCAGTCTGTTCGGGTTGATGCAACTTCCAAAGTGAGTGAAGAGGCTAACGCATTCTACCACCTCACTACGTATCCTCACACTGGGAGTAAGTGGAGACCAGTCCTGGGACATTATCTTACGCTTAACAGCTGTGCAGTGAAACCAAATATAGAAAGATTGTAATCTCCGTATGTTCATTTAGGTGGGAACCCATGTGCTCGAACCAACACGTGATCACTGTCAAACATGCGCTCCAGAAGGAGTGACAACCTTCCACATGTTCTTCAAAAAGAGAGAGTATGTGCACCCACTGTTGGGTTGAAGTCAGTGGACGTCACATCAGATGTCTATGTACGAATTCTGTGCTGATCATAAATAGAAAGTTATCCGAGCACAGTTATAGCAATGACCTATTCGTTCGGCAAGATTCCGAGAATGCTGCCTTAATCCCTTTCTGTTTGGCTTAGTCTATTCAGTTATGCACTGAAATCACCTACGACAACCACATCCAAACGTGACTTACAGTAGGATGTTAGATAGTTTCCGGTAGAACTTTCACTTTGTCCTAATTGCAATCAGTAGGTGCGTAAGTAGAGATTAGAATCAGACAGTGACGAGTTTCGCTACACTTTTAAATCTCCACTGTACTATTCAATCGAACAACGCACATGTGACTATCAACTGCGATCACATCAGTCAGTGAACTTCCTGCCTTAGCATCTAATCCAATACCTACACCTGCATGACTGCAAGAACTACTGAATGGGTCTCCAGACACTAGAAGGGTGAATTTCGCAAATTCATCACACTGGTCGAGTGAGATTAGGTGAATGACACTTGTTGGGCCCTGTATGCGTGTCCCACAAACACACCCATGACCCAAAATGCTAGTTTTGGCTAGCGAAGATTGTTGACTGCGTTGACGGATGGTATGGACACTGAAAGGTCTGTGTAGTTTATGGTGCGGTTGCAGGAAGCCAGTGAAGCTGTTGTGAGGACTCAGTTGTGAAGAGCCGGAAGGAATTAAAGATCATGTAGGATGACTGAGAGACATGAAGGAAGACTAGAAATTAAGATTGTGAAAGGTGGATAGTGGTTTGAGGAAGGTTGAGTGCTGACAGTTGGGTGGACGGTTGACACTTCCAGGCTGCCCACATCACTGGTTAGTTCTCCTGGAGTTGTCTGCAAAAGGCCTAGTCCATAACCTCAGGGCGTAACGGAAATATGAGGCCTGTTACACAAGGCCCTTCTAGAAGTCTAACAGTTTAGTTTTTTTTGCTAATCTATGAACCCGCATTACAGGTATTTAGATGTCACGTGGTGGAGGGGAGTGTAATACTTTTATAACCAACCTTTTCTAACCCTTTCCTATAAGGCAGTATCAGCGTAATACTTCTAGTCACCTGCGGGAAACATCTTACTGTTGTCACACCTCCAGCCAGCCAACAGTACGACTTCACCCTCAAACCCTATCATAGCGCAGCAATTTACACTATAACAGTAACTGCTTTTTGTCTTATCACTATCTAAATTACCTTAATGGTATGGTGGGACCATGAAGAAACAAGCGTCCCATCAGTATAGTTAGGATGAGGTTTCGGAAGTTCACTTTTACTAACTTTGGAATGTAGGTTACCAACTATCTTTACCGCTGTTTCTGCAGCAGACTAAACTTCACGCTAAGCTTCATCTGGGTGGCAGTTGCCATTAAGTTCAAACAAATGCTTCGGTATCTCCTCCAATAATGAGCACCTGGCATTCTCATCTTCCGATCGAGCACACTACATCCTATTTCTTGAGGCCGAAAAGGTGTGATAATGCACGCGCCCGTACAAACGCGTTATCGGAACTCAAACATGTACTCCAGGAGTGGTAATCTTCTATCGACCCTCTGCAACTATCGCTTACAAATACATGGTCTACCTGCGTTCATCGTTGGTTTGCTGTCAGCATGACGAGAATATATACAATAGAAAAGTTGGTGGTAGTAGTTCCACGTTGGCTTGTTTTCATCTGTTTTGAGTAGTGGCCTAAAAGCGATATGTCCACGAATGGTTTACGTACGGGAAACCTCCATAATATCGTCTTCTGTTGAACTCATGAAGAAGCGTTGTGCGTTCGGCAAAGATGACAATATCAGTATGAACTAAAGAATATCGCGACAGCAGACCAGACAAACACACCAATGTAAAACTGGGGATTACACAGCTTAAAGTTGCCACACTTAATGGCAGCATGTAAGGAAAAAGAGCACAAAAGACGAATGACATCAAGTTGATAAATATGTACAAGAGAGGGGAGAAATTTTTAGTAAAAATATGCAAGGCTTCGATGGTGGAAAAGTGTATACATCTCCACCATTGTGACTAATCTTCAACTAATAATCCATGTCCTCTCAGGGCGCTTAATCGGACAGCCTTAGCTTCCTACACGTTTCGGATTAGCAGTCGAAGAATTCGTGAGATGGTGACAAATCTTTGTCTGATCACCCTTAGCAAACTTTGAACACAGTAGTAATTCAGATATCATTGCACATCAAAGCAGATGCAACACACACAAGTCACCTCAGTATTTTTTGGTTGATTACTTCACTGACTGACTCTTTCCGCACCTAGTGCTGCCTAACTTCACCACTGCTTATATAGTGATTGCACGAGATCAGAGCTATATTACGAAAGAAAATGTATCCCCTTCATACCTGCATTCAACGGTCATTTCCGACAGTTGTAATTGCCCAAAGTGAACTGCCACATAGTATACTTGTCCTCTGGTGGGTACTCAGGTGCATTACCGACGTCATTGGTGAATTCGGTTCCTGGTAGTCAAGGTTTCCGAATTTGAACTTTGATTTCGCCAGCAGCTGATCCAACCAGGCAGATATTACTCAAGTAGAAGGTGGTTACATGTCCACCTACTTTACTCTGTATCCTTAATATGCAGAAAATGCTGGCCAGGTCCGAAATATCTTGCAATTAGCAGGACCCAAACGCATGCCGAGTATAACAAAACTTTTCGTCATGGAGTTTAGAAGACTATGCACTTTGTTAGCGTTTCCACCCAACTACACCAAGATTAAAGCAAATGCGATAATATTGAGGTTAAAATAGGCTACTTAAGGTGTAATATTAGGAATTGTTTACATCACCACTTATTGGTGATGACCTCATAGACCAACTCTTGAAAAGGAGGCCAGACTCGGAATTCAAACTGACCTAAATGAAAACCAGAATCAGTTTAATCACATCTGCTATGGTGAATTTTATTCTTAGTTAATATCAGCATTCAGTGGACAGGATACTGCTACCTTGATCTCCAGGACAAAAGATAGACGGAATGACCTGAAAACAATGCACTGTAATCCAGATGAAGAAAAAGTAATTACAAATGTCACGGTCTCTGGATTCATTTATGAGAACACATACAAGATGGGTTGAACATATGCAGGACCTCAAGTCAATCCACCTGGACAAGATGTTTGAGCTTGTGAAAAAAACAATCAATCAATATCAACATAGGACCAGGCATTACTGCGTAACGGTCTGAGTTGCCACACCTCACGTCAGTTCATCAAGTAGAAAGGTAGTGAGGTGAAGGATGAAGATAAGTGAATGCAGTCACAAGAAATATAAAGTACGAGAAGAAAGGAAAGAGGAGTGACAAAATGGTGAGATTCGGTATAGCGTTGTTAAGATGAGAATAATGTGTGCATACATCTGCACCACTGACATCGGTTCTGAGCCATGTGATCGCTTAGAGTCTCCAACAACTGGTTCCTCTTGTCCCGTGGACAGAGCTTGTGAAAGACGGTTTTGACTCCGATTGACTCCGTTGATCGAGAAGTCTTATGGTAATGTCTCTCACTGAAAGGCGTGCCTAGTAAGTACATCACCCTACTGCAAGCTCTACTCGAACACTTGTGGGCATGTCAGAGCCTATGGCGAGTTGTCCAGGGAGCTATACTCATCAAGTGGTGTCCTTCAAGGATGCCCACTAACTCCATTCATATTTAATTTTATCATAGATATTCTTATGGAGGTTTCCCTCTCGTCACCTAATTACACAGACGTTGACCCAATCACAGGTGAATTTTCTCTAGATCTAGAATATACAGATGACATAGTCCTGTTAGGTGAAGACGCTGACAAGATGCGCAGACTTCTGAACATTTTGAGTGGGAATTTGAGAATGTCTGGGATGCGACTTTCACCAACCAAATGCAAATTTTTGCTCCGGGACTGGTCTTCAGCGGTCTCACCGCTAACAATACAGAGTGAAGTGGTTGAGTGTGTTGACCACTTCACTTACCTGGGAAGTAGGATCAACTCCGGTGGGTCAGTTGCCGATGAGATTTCTGCACGGATACAAAAGGCTCGATTGGCTTTTGCCAATTTGCGCTACCTATGGTGCCGCCGTGATATTCATTTGTCCATTAAGGGTCGCGTGTACTGCACAGCAGTCCGCTCTCTTCTACTGTATGGCTGTGAAACATGGCCATTGAAAGTGGAGGATACAAAAAGGCTTTAGGTGTTTGACCACCGTTGCCTTCGTAGTATAGGGCGTATTCCGTGGTGTCACCACATGAGCAATGCAGGACTCACGTGTAGAGTTTTGGGGAGAAGAGGTAAGTCAGTTGACGAGGTTGTGAACCTTCATCGACTGAGATGGCTGGTTGGGACACGTACTACGTATGCCTAGTCACCGATTGCCTCGTCACACAATGTTGGCTGAGGTGGGTCCAGGCTGGAAAAAGGCTCGAGGTGGCCAGACTAAAACACAGCATCAATGTATGAAGTCTCTGACTGTTGGTTTAAGCCATGTGGAGCAATGCAGACTAGGTGGTTGGGGTCCGCGGGATGAAAGGAACCAGTGGTTGGAGACTCTAAGCGATCACATGGCTCAGAACCGATGTCAGTGGTGCAGATGTATGCACACATTATTCTCATCTTAACAACGCTATACCGAATCTCACCATTTTGTCACTCCTCTTTCCTTTCTTCTCGTACTTTATATTTCTTGTGACTGCATTCACTTATCTTCATCCTTCACCTCACTACCTTTCTACTTGATGAACTGACGTGAGGTGTGGCAACTCAGACCGTTACGCAGTAATGCCTGGTCCTCTGTTGATAATGATGATGAAAGACGGATGTGGGACGTATTTTAAGCGCAAGTATGGGAAATTGCTATGTTCTTTAACCCATTTCCTAAAGAGCAGTACAAGAAGTTACTTCCCGTGAAGATAAATGAAGTAACATCATGCTAGCAACATCCTGGAGATTTATGATCGTAGTTACCATATACACTTACTCTTGATACATCCTGGTGTTAGTTATCTAATGCGTCATTGAAAGGCTTTAAATCCGAGGATGAACCAATTCTAAGTGGAATTTACATATTCCCATCATGTCTGTAACCCGGGTGTTTCACATGACGTGTCAAAGAACATAGCTGGACGAATCCACAGAAAAAATGCTTGGATTATGATAGGACTCCTGGACTAAAACTTATCACTGGAGAGTAAATAACCTAAACTAATCGACTTGCTTGATGTTAGTCACCCAAAAGAAATAACATTTAAAGACAAACTTTTCGAAAGTTCTTTGCACTGAAGGCAATTATATACATTTCTATTTGAAGTAATCAAAACTCACACCACGCATATCCAGTTAGGCTACTGCATATTTATATGACATACCATTATCCTGAGTCTTTTCAGTTGCAGTTTGGTTTTGACTGATGACATGGGAACCTCTGCTGCTGATTGGATTCGAAGAGTGAGCGCTGAGGTGCATTGGATCGGCGACGTTATCTTTTTCGGTTCTTGTGTTTACTGATTTACGCGGCTTAAACGTCTGACTGGGAGCTTGTGGGACTACTTTGGGAGCTGAGCTCGCAATTGAGGATTTTCTCTCCTTTTGAAGTTTCTCAAGCTTTTTACGTACACAGATCTTGTAGTTCCGGTTATAGGTCCAGGGTCGAAGCCAAGACTTTTCAATGCCTGTCGCAGTTCATCATCTCCAACAGATGCTGCCATAACACAAAGTTTAAAACTTTGATCCTAGCACGTTACTTTAAACAGCCTAATTTAAAAAGAAATTCAAAATATTGGAGGCAATAACTACAAAAACCAACCGACCTCCCAAACTTCTGATGTAAATGTCCAATAGAACAAGCATAGTATCCTCAAAGCTAAACTTGGTCCTTTTGACTCATTTTCATTTTTCATTCATATACAAGCGTAGATTCTTTATCTTATTGAGGTAAGTGATGTGAATTGCTGACTTAAGGAAGATCAAACATCAATCGCTTTCTAGTGAGATTTTCAATTCATTCCAAGGCAATTCCAACATAGTTTCTGCATTCTTTTGCAGAATAAATTTATTCCTAACATAGACAAAGGATAAGATACTTCAGTTGGGGCATGAGTATCTCGAACACGGAAGGCTAGTATTAGTCACTTATTCTACTTTGAACTGGAAACAGAAACATATTCTGCCATTGCATTTCTCCGCGGAAGAGAGGTTGGCAAGCCTGGCCAACAATTTCCTATGACCTACTTGAATGTGGTCCAGAACCTAAACTTTTTGATGAGGGGTTAGTTAGCTGTTTTGACGCGACATCGAAGTACTTCACGAAACCATTTCAACGCGGAACTTAAAGGTCTTCAAAATCAATGGCCTAGGGTCTAACGAGATTCAGCATTGGCACTTACCTTCATGATTTCATCGGTTTCGTCAAGCTGAAGTCACACGATCAAGCATCCACACCACTCGACATGTTGTCGCGTTACAAAGCACTGCTCGTAAGAAATTCTGTAGTCAATAAGTTGGAAAGCATCGGTATTTTGTCACGACCTCTCAGATATACTATTCCCACCTGACTACGCTATTGTGTTCTTCCTTGGTCTCTATTTGCGAGTATATTACACGTATAAACAACAAGTGATTGTTCTCTGCGTCTGTCAATTTCGCACAAGGACAATTATTAAAGGCCGAAACAATGACAACACCGCCAGAGTTGCACTGTGATGTGCAGACATTTGTGATGCATAGTCATCGGCTGCTTCTATGAGCATCGTGCCATCGAGGCTAGATGACCGTATACGGGTGACAACGCCGTGCTTATTGAGCATGGTTACACGTGCTGCAGTTAACTTCTATGAGTGCTGGCAGATCAAGTTACCTAGTTCGCCTTCGTTCACTTGTACTGCACGCTTGTATGCATCATATAACTAAGTTTTAAAGAAGCGCAACACGCTGTAATTATAGTGAAATTCAGTAATCGAGTGATCCGATCTGACTCAGCGTTCAATTTCTTTCAGGACATTCGTAACAACTATAGCATGAATATTTGTACACTTGAAAGCTCCATTGCTACAGACCCCGCAATTCCGCGTCACCAGTGACTGATGCCGTTGGAGTTTCAAGTATTTCTGGTTGTTCATTGGCAGCGTAGTGACCAAATCAAAAGCGGCCAATAGGAAAGTTACGATTATCTGACGAGATGATGATCGCTAAAATTTCTACGCAAATCTAAATCTGTGGTGGGTAATTTCAGTTAGCCTAGCAGAACAACAAAGCCATACCGCTTTCGAGTCACCTCCAAAGAACACATTAGTTAATGAGTTGTCATCTGGACACAACGGAAGTCAAATTTGATAAATAGAAATAAAAGAGACTGTTCCAGCCTACCACCTGTCGTTACTCAGGCAAAAGATAACCTATCCAATTTTGCTTTGCCCATATGTACTTAAAAGTGTAGCTGCTTCTGCGGAGAAGGATATGTGGGGCGTACTAATATACACTTCATCAGGCGTGTTGCTGAGTATCTGCCACCCTCGATAGGAAAGGGGCTGATAAAAGCACGAAAACCTCTGTTTTATCTCATCTCGTTGATATGATTAGCTTGGTAGATGAGAACAAAGCTTCCAAAGATTTTCACTACATGCCACCTAATTTTTCGGAAAGTATTCGAACCCGTCTTGCATATGTGGCTGAAGTTGTGAAACTATGAGCTAAGAACCCTAGTCTTTGTATCCAGAAGAAGTTTGTACATCCATTATCTTGCCCTTAACCGGGAAATTCTCGACAAACAACTGCACCGTTAAACTTTCTCCTTCCCTTTCCTATTCTCCATCCCCCTTATGTACCCACCATACCTGTTCAGACTGTTTCAGCGTCACACACTTCCCCAAAATCAATAGCCTGGAGTTCGACGACATTCAACATTGATGCTGACCTTGATAGTTTAACTGGACTCGCTAGACTGAAGGCACCCGGTCAAGCATCTTTGTCATTTGGCACGCTGTCGTGCTACGTTGCACTGCTCATATCCGACTCTCCGGCCAGCTAGTTGGAACGCATCGGTAACTTGGCACAACCACCCAAATATACTATTCCAACCGACTATGCTATCGTGTTCTTCCTTGGTCTTGTATTCGTGGGTATATAACAGGTCCGAATAATTAGTGATTGGTCTTTGCGTCTGTTTGTTCGCTCACACACCGTATTCAAAAGGGAAATATGGGTCCCAACCAGAGGCCGGTAACCAGTATCTGTCGGGAGAAGTAATGGCCTTGCGCGTAAGCTTTCGGAAAATAATGATGTTTCATGAGTTATACAACTCAGTTGTTGCAAGAATATGCCATTTATGACGTGCTCGTAACATATATTTTGATCGTTCTTGGTACAACGAACCAACTTCCTGACGTCTTAACCGACTGCAAATAAGTCAGCAAAGTAGTCTCGAAGCTAGTTTTGCACAGAAACATCTTTCACCTGTGTACATCGCCGTATTGCAAAAGATATAAGACATCATCATTCTGGGTGGTTCTTTTTTGGCATGTAGGAACATGTGTTTACGACAGTAGTGACTATTATGCAAGGGCTGTCCTTTATATGAGCCCTCACAAAGGTAAAGTAAGCAACTTACCCTTTCGGTTTAAGTGAACGCAGTTTTATGGGGTATCATTTTCATCCAACTTATATGCTGTGATACATCTTACCACTCTCTTGCATGATTCGCAGGCGTACTTGAAACATTGACGGAATTTGAACTTACAACAAAAACGTTACGACTAAATCTCCCCAACATAAAACGTGACACCGCAATGAACTTCACAGATTTCTCACTAAGGTCTGCTGCAGGCCTGAGGTCTACAGCCCTTACCAGCCTATGTCCTAGGATACCGGCCACTCGATATGCAACCGATAAACCGATGCTCTCATGGAACCCAACAAGTAGAGACGCATGCAGAAATTATACATTATCCGAAATGATCCTGTGATCCAGAAGTACGAACAGCAGCTTCACCAAGAGGTTCTGTGTACTGAGTTACGTCCCACTAGTAACGAGAACACAAACGGGCTTCACAACAACCCAACCCCATCATCCACTAACGTAAAGAGCCAATAAAAAACCACTTCTAATGGAGCGACAGACGGGTACTTTGTGAAGAGAAACTGTGATCGCCTGCATGGCACTAGCCTACCAGGAAGCAGCCCTTGACCTAGCACAAAGCCAGCTATGTCCGTTGTGAATTGTAACAGAAGGCAGTCACTTGTAAGGAATACAACGTAGAACAGAGGTCTGCAGCAAACCCAAAAGCCCGATGATCTTTTATCCTTTGCACCTCTATCAGCTACAGCTTTGATCAAAAAACTGGTGGGGGTGTTGAAGCCCCTACTCTGAACCACTAATCTTATGGCCGTCGGAGCAACAGAAAAGACACAGTCAACCATGCACACAAATCCTAGACGCCAACTACCCAAGTGGTGTCAACATATGCGGAAACACAACAGGTCTGCTGAATCCTCCAAGTGGCATCATCAGCCCTACACACCCACCACGTATAGTAGTAAAACTGCCTACCCTTGGTGAAGCGGATGCTACAGACTACGCTCGCATGGGGTCAAACTCCCTGTATAAGGATATGATGTGCACTCTAAACATTGCTCGTATGATTTTCAAATAATGGAGACTATTTGTGGCTCAGGTGAGTGGTCTTGGTTGTAGTGTGTTCTCAGGGTTGAGTTGTTTGATCGCGAAGCTCTCATCGTCTTTCTGGGCGACATCGTCAGCATTCACTTCAGTACGAAGTGAGCTGTCAGTATCTCTCCCCTGGTGAAGGCGGTGCTATTTCCAGTCACTGAGCGTTCGATTTACCACTTGGGTATCCCAGTAACTCTACAGCTACAAGCGAACAAGGTGTACAGCCGTTTTGCAAGGCAACGACGCCAGACTGTATTCAGTCAAGCGATACTGACAAACCTCTTGGTCTGTTTAGCGAACTAGAAAGCTTTATACACCATTAATCCTCCTACATGTATATAGTTTCCGTAAAAGATAGGTAAGCGCATCGAAAACTACAAGCAATGAGAGGAATCGCGCTCATATACAAGCCACTGATAATTACTATGACTGAGACTTAGCGCCACGCAAATACACTAGCAACATAAAACTTGGAAGGTAGTAACTTACAGTTGCATAAGCTGGATTATAGGAGACGAAGTCAAATATGGTTTTACCTAAATTGGAAAACTGATGTATGTACTCCTGTGGATTTCAGCCACCTCGAGAGTGAGAAAACGGGGCGATCAGGAAATGTTGCGACGCGGAAGCAAAAAATGGGAAAGCAAAGGCAAATATAACTTCAAGAGCCCTGTGGGAGGGAGTTTCCGGCCATTTTCCGTTGCGATAACCTCGTTTTGCTTTACATTCCCTGGCAACAATAAACATAAAAAATTATTACTATTATTATTATTATTTACCCACCATCCAAAACTGTGAACTTCCAACTTGGTTGAGGTATCTGTGGACTATGAAGGTTATCTTTGGAAACAGGCTATCAGTTATTTAGGACTGCACACCGCGGGGTCAGGGAAGTCCGTTAATTTACTTTTGTGAGGGCTCACATAGAGGACAGCCCTTGCATAATAGTCACTACTGTCGTAAACACATGTTCCTACATGCCAAAAAAGAACCACCCAGAATGATGATGTCTTATATCTTTTGCAATACGGCGATGTACACAGGTGAAAGATGTTTCTGTGCAAAACTAGCTTCGAGACTACTTTGCTGACTTATTTGCAGTCGGTTAAGACGTCAGGAAGTTGGTTCGTTGTACCAAGAACGATCAAAATATATGTTACGAGCACGT